GCTGGAGAAAGATCCTGCTAGCCGCGGGATGTACATATTTCCCACCAAGGCATTGGCACAAGACCAAAGGCGCAGTATGCAGGAGCTGCTTCAGTTTTTGGATGGTCTCCAAGACACCATCGTTGAGACATACGACGGAGACACGCCCATGGCCGCACGGAACCACATTCGAGATGAGGCGCGTATTATCTTCACCAATCCCGACATGCTACACATCACCATTCTGCCTCAAGAAAGCTCCTGGCGTACGTTTCTGAAAAACCTCAAGTTCGTTGTAGTCGACGAGCTGCACGTGTATAATGGACTGTTTGGATCCCATGTCGCATTCATCATGCGTCGCCTACGCCGCATTTGCGCCGCTGTAGGTAACCGTCAGGTGCGATTTATCTCCTGCTCGGCCACAGTAGCCAATCCGGAAGCGCACATGAAGGCCATTTTTGGAGTTGAAGATGTGAAATTGATCGACTTCGATGGCTCTCCATCGGGACGCAAGGAATTTATGTGCTGGAATACGCCGTTTAAAGATCCTAACGACCCAACATCCGGCCGCGGGGACAGTGTTGCCGAAACGGCACGTCTGTTCTGCCAGCTCATTTTACGTGGCGCGCGGGTTATCGCGTTCTGTCGAATCCGAAAGATGTGTGAAGTTCTCTTGCAAGCTGTGCGGACGGAATGCCAAAATCTGGGTCGCGCTGAGGTTGCGAAGCTCGTGATGGGCTACCGCGGTGGCTACAGCCCGCAAGACCGACGTGTCATTGAAAAAGACATGTTTGAGGGCCAATTGATGGGCATTGTGGCCACTAATGCTCTCGAGCTGGGAGTTGACATTGGGTCCCTTGACGCCGTCATCACTCTGGGGTTCCCCTACTCGATCTCGAATCTTCGCCAGCAGAGCGGGCGCGCAGGTCGACGTAACAAGGATTCGCTCTCGGTTCTTGTCGGCGATCGCTATCCCACCGACCAGCACTATATGCGCAATCCCGAGGAATTGTTCACCAAGCCCAATTGCGAACTCCAAGTCGACCTAGCCAACGAATTGGTCCTTGAAGGCCACATTCAGTGTGCTGCCTTCGAGATGCCCATCCGCCCCGATGAGGACAGCACCTACTTTGGACCACAGCTTGCCGAATTCGCCGCGACTCGCCTCACCCGCGATGCTCTTGGCTACTACCACTGTCACGAGCGCTTCCGGCCTCAGCCGTCCCGCTGTGTTTCCATCCGGGACACTGAGGACCAGCACTTCGCCGTCATCGACACCACCAATTCGCGCAACGTTGTTCTCGAGGAGGTGGAAGCTTCGCGTGCCTTCTTCACCATCTACGAAGGAGGCATCTTTCTCCATCAGGGTCAAACCTACCTCGTCCAAGAATTCCACCCCGATCGCCATTTCGCGCGCGTCATCCGGGTCCATGTGGACTGGAACACCATGCAACGCGATTACACCGACATCGATCCCATCGAAACCGACTCCATCCGGTTCATCAACCAGAATCCGTTCTCCATCGCCGCTTCGGCCTCGGCCGCGGCCGCGGCCAAAACTGAAGCTCCATCCGAGTCACCCGACCCGCCAAGCCGCGCGTTCTTTGGCTCAATCCGCATCCACGCCGTTGTCTACGGGTTTTTCAAGATTGACAAACGCGGTCGCATCCTGGACGCCGTCACAGTCGACAACCCCCCGATCGACATCTACACCAAGGGGATGTGGCTGGACATCCCCAAGCGGGCGCTGGAGATCCTCCGTTCGCACAACCTCAACATCGCGGCGGCCATCCACGCCGCCGAACACGCCATCCTCTCGCTGCTCCCGACCTTCGTGATCTCTTCCCCTGGGGACGTCCGCACCGAGTGCAAAGTCGCGAAGAAGGAAGTCGGCCGCGGCCTGCGCTTAGCCGCGGAGGAAGGCCAACCGCACGAGGGCCAGACGAGGAAGCAGCTCGAGTCCAAAGTCAAAAAGATCCTCCAGCCCCCCGCACGGCAGCGCCCCGCGCGGTTGACCTTCTATGATGCGAAGGGCGGGCCGTGCGGATCCGGCATCGCGAGCAAGGCGTTCGAGTTCGTGGACGTGCTGCTGCGCCGGGCGGTGAAGCGCATCGAGGCCTGCCAGTGCCTCACGCCGCAGGGCTGCTTGGAGTGCGTCTGTGACGAGCGGTGCAAGGAGATGAATGAGGTGATGAGTAAGGCCGGGGCTGGGGTGGTGCTGCGGTGTCTGCTGGGGTGGGAGGTGGACGTGGATGCTCTGCCGTGGGGGGAGGAGGTCGATCTGAGTGGGATCTGTGGGGTGGGTGGGGAGGAGCTGCGCGGCGGGTTCGAGACGGTCGTGCCTGCGACGGAGGTGCCGCTTCGATCTCAGCGGTAGGTCTGTCTGGAACTCTGCCTGGCCTCAAGTGTGTATATGTAACATCTACAGCTGTCCCTGAGATGCTCAACCAGGAACAGCCTCAACAACAAGGGTACCATCCAAGACTCGCCTTTGTTCATAAAATCTTGAAATAGAATTGCCACATGTCTACACTGTTGCTCACCACCGTCAACCAAGTATCCTGATATTAATAACTACTTTCCCACTTCGGAAATCCCCCAACCCCCCGAAGAAGGGCTATCAGCCAACAACCGACTCCCCCAGAAAGAGCCCCGGCAACGCAAACCCCGGGTCCGGGAAATTCTGCAGAAAGCTATCAAAGTACGCCCCATACTCCGTCTCCGACAGGGCGGAACAGCCCTCCAGAAGCGCAGAAATCTCAGGTGTCTGAACCTCGAGACTCTCACTTTGAAAATGACCCGTAGAACCGCTGGGTAGTAGCGTATCCCCATCAGCATTACCCGCATGATCGAGATCATGGTGATACTCCGGGGCTTGATTTCCAGGGTCGAGTGCGCCCCCACCACCACCACCACCACCACCACCATCCACGGGGGCAACCCGCTCCAGCCGCTCCAGCGCATTCCTCCCCAAATGCGCCATAACAGCGGCAAGCCACCACGTCTTCGCTGCTGCCTGCAGTGCCCCATGAAACAGATCGAGCTGCTCGAGCGCCAGAGCCCGCGCGCTGGGTAATCTCGCTTCCTTGAGGTGGCTGTACGTCACGGAGAAGGCGAGCGCGATCGTGTACGCGGATAGCGCGATGGGCGGGGTTTGGGAATGTCGGGGTCGGGGTCGGTGTCGACGGACGAGGGCCGCCACGCTGTGCAGGGCCTGGCTCTGCTGGATCTGCGTGGAACGGGAGCGGGAGCGGCCTTGTAGGCCTTGGGAGTGTGTGGAGAGGAGGATCACGGCGTGGTGGTAGAGTTCCAGTTGTTCTGTTCAAGGGTTAGGAATGGGTGAATTGGGGGGGTTGAGGGTTCGGTGGAGTTGGGTTGGACTCGATGCTAATTACCAAGGAGTTCGGGGTCGGTGGCCCAGCCATCGGACTGCGAGACGAGTTCCTCGAAGGTGCAGAGCTCCGGGCCCTGTTCGCAGCTGTCACTGCAACTGCAACTGGTAGTCCGTGTCCGGACAGGCCGGTACGATCGGATCACCCGGCCGAGGTGCTCGGCGATGCGCAACCAGATGCGGAACGCTGGTGCGAATATGGGGATGGGGAGAGACAGCACGTCGCGCACCTCCTGGTCCATGTCGTAGTCGTGGATCAGCAGCGGGCGGCCGTTGACGGCGGCGTTCCATCGGTCTAGACTCCAGAGGCACCAGAATAGCGTTCCAGTTCTGGGTGGTGTCGTCGCGGTAGCTTTTCGTCCCACCCGCGGGGCGAGGTGCAGGCCCAGCGTGTGGGCGTGGTGGACGGCCTGGGATAATGCCAGGGAGGCCTCGTCGCATCCGTGGGGGCCCCAGGCGTGCAACGACAGAAGGGCGAGGATCTGGATGGTTAGGATCCTGCGCTCGTGCTGCTTGGGCATGTTCCTTGTGATGTCGGCGTGGAGGAGTCGGGCGAAGGTTTCGAGGGTTAGGAGGGTTGGGGTGGGGTTGAGGGAGAGGAAAGGCGCGGCGCGGGGGTCTTTGGAGGCGGTTAGGCAGATGGATTGGAGGAGGGCGGCGGGGAGGGTGTTGGTCGCGAACTGGGAGCGGGTTTCTTCTTCGTCGAGGAGGGGGAGGAAGGGGTGCAGGCGGTGGAAGTAGATGTCGATCAAGGCTTCTTGCTGTGGTTTTGGGGGTAGCACGGGGACAGTTCTTGTTATGAATTCATTCGCTGTGTGTCCGTGAGGCTGTGACTCTGATATCGGAGGGGAGAAGCATTCGTTATGTAATGACGCTCCCACGTCCCCCATCTGAGATTGACCCTCCAGGTGTCTTGATCTGGGGTCATCCAACAGAGTGACAACAGGGTTAGTGTCGCATGCGAATTGATCGGGGTCTGTGTTCCCTCTGCTGGTCATCGATCCTGGCGTTGATGGGACGGAGGGGGACATATGTGAGGGCTGTCGTTGTTCGGTTCTGTGCTGTGACGACGAGACATGAGGGCTCTCTTGCACCTCTCGCTCTAGGTCAGATAACACCTGTGCAGATCGTACAATGCGTCGGGATTGATGGTGAAAACATCGCTTCTATTCCCGTCATCAGTGCTGATTGTCCACCAAGCAATGAGAGTACAGGCAAAGCACCTTCTTCTGACGGCAGGAGGCACAAGCGTGCCGTAGATGCTCGCGTGAGATGTTTCGGCCATCATGTCCGATCAAGAACTTCAGCTGCATGATGAAGACCTTCTGAAGTTGAGATGTTGGGGCTGCGGTGAAGGGATGTTGTTGGGCTGTCGGAGATGAGCGGGAGCCCGGTTTGACTGACAGGCGCGGAGGCGAGTTTCCGGAAGTGGAAATTGGGTTCCGGGCGTGGGCTCGCATCTGACCGAGGCTTGGAGATCTCCCTAATTTCAGCCTTGGCCGTCCAAGCGAGACCAGTTTCTCCGCTCCAATTTTTGATTACGTGGTCTTGGCATGCATACTTGGCAAGCTATCTTGACATCTCGTGGTTGGAGTTGGTTCTTGGAGACTGGAGCGACTGCGGGAGGAAGGGGATCATGAACCAAGAGTCAGCCCTAAGTTGACCTACGATTTCTACGCTACAGTGTCTCGGCGCCAGGGATGTGCCCCTATTCTATATTATCTCTTCTGCGTTAACGCGTCTTTTGTAGAAAGTCATGCTCATTGCGTTGCTCGGCTATCCTCCTTCTCACAGTTAGAAAGCCCCTGTGTGGGATTTAAATCTTGTCATACATTTCCCTCCAGCGATGAGACTCGGATTACTCGGAGTTCTCGTCGCCATCGCCCACGCGGTCGAAGTAGGCCTGATCTTCCCTCGGAACGAAACGTATTCGCCGGCTGACTGGCTCCCCATTGTCTTTGCAGTCCAGAGCCCGCAGGACGCCGAACTTCTCAACCTACGCATCTCCTACAGCCTCCGCCACGGCAATGACGCCAATAACTCCATCACTCCTTTAACCCACGATCTGCGCTGGGCCAATCTCTCCAGCAGTGCAGACCCGAACGTTGCATGTCACTATCTCCCGACGCTCAACAACACGGGCTACTGGTCGGTGGACTGGTGGCTCCGCTGGGAAAGCTGCGATGAGGAGGCGACAGCCAAGGACGAGGGCCACGAGGGCGTCCTCCAGCACTACTACTCTTGGGCGCAATCCTTCATTACCTCGGCACGATCAATGTGACCGACACGGCCCTGCATTTGCCTCCGGACGTCAGCTCCGCTGGCCGCGACTCTTGCGTCGTGACGGCCAACTCGACGGCCACACCGGACCCCTGTCGCATCGCCATCGACAAGGACACCGCGGCGGGTATGGCAGCCGTCCAGCACCAGCGGCTCTGCGACGGTCTGAATGCGCCCGATGATTGTTCCAAGGGGGCGAATGGCGCGCCGCAGCGGTCGGCGGTAATTGGTGGATCGTGCTTACTGGCTGCTTTGGGAGTAATAGGGTTCGCGCTCTTGTAGATGGCTCCGTGAGGAACTCGCGCCAAGCAAGTCTTACAAATAGCCACCTCTCTGAGGTACTCAACTTCAGCCAGCCCTTACCTAATCTTACCTTGAAGTTGAAAGGCTTAGTGAAAATTCAGGCTCTCAGTACAGGCAAGACAGGCAAATCACCAGCTGGTTTGGTGACCTCGATCATTATGCATTATTGGACCATCATATTTCACGCTTGTAGAGTGGAAATAATTCACTTGACAGTGTAAGACTCGAGATCATCCCATGTGCCCTATGCCTAGCACAACCGAGACTCAGATTACGGTGTCGTTTCTACTTCACCCTCCAAGCAAATCTGGTCATTAAGGTGACCTTAACCAAGGGTCTTCCAAGAGCTCTCTTGCCGAAAACCTCTCCTCGGGCTTCCATTGGAGCATCTTGCGCAAGAACCGGAGGAAAAGTAGCCGTGGTTCACCCTCCAGATTTCCTTCGAGCGTTTCTAACGATCTAGAAGGGATTTCGATTGCTCCCTTCCAGTTCCCTACTTGATTATCAGCAAAACACTGTGGGAAGGCTAAGATTCATATATACCTTCGTCATCGAAGAACTCGGTCGCATAGACACTATTCTGCGTCATTTTTTTGGTGGTGGCCCCATAACAGCAATTATTTCAGCGATGTGATGGGCATCAGAGCTTTTCTTGTCCGAATCACGCCCGTGGAACAAATGTCCTTGTTCGAAGAGATCCCACGTCTATACAGGTTATTAGCAATGGAGATTGCCCACTACTCATTTTAAGAGGTCCGAAGAATTGAACACGTACCAGCCATCCGGCATTCTAAATACCAACCTTCCCGTTCCAAGGCATTCGCAGTATCACCTCGGGAGCTCTGTAAATATATGGCTGGATATCACCATGGTAGGTATCTGACCCACGGCGAGCCTGACCAAAATCACACAGCGTAGAACGACCATGTTGCGTAGTCCTCCTGAGTTTTCGAGAAGCATAGATGACTCGATCGCCGACGGACTTCCGCGGGCTAGGACCAGACTTCTCCTCTTCTTCGAAATCGGCTAAGATCGAAGGGTCTCCGATGGCCATCATGATGTTCTTTTCTTGAATATCTGAGACAGCTCGGTTAGACTTTCGGGAGTAGGATAGAGAGGACTCATACCTGTATGGACGATTCCAGCGTCTGTGTGAAGGTAATCAAGGGCAAGCAGGAGATGTATTAGGGTCAACTTGACTATACTTTCGGGGAGTACCTTGGCTCTGAGCTGAGCGCGGAAGTCATAGAGACTTATCCCCAAGGTGGGATGAACAAGACATCCAAAATTGCCCTCTTCAGAAGTAATCTGGAAGCTATCCAGCGCTTTGCGGAAAAGCTTAGCACCAGCATGATCTGTTGTGCCGAGTGTGTTCAAGTGACGATAGGTCTCTACCTCTCTTTGGCCTTCTGCCGAATTGCGCTCGAAGACCTTCAGGGTGATATAATCATGCATCCTAGGGACTGGTGATTTGGCTTTTACATCGCTACTTGGTTGAGAGGTAAGCTGACTGTAGGTCTCTGCACAGCCACACGGTTGAATATCCACCGTAGCCCAATTTACCAATCACCTGATACCTTGATTGGGAATACCTCGCCGATTTTCACCGAATAGAACTCATCCGGAGTACCATGGCAGTGTCTCTTCCTCGAGCTTCTTGGTTGCGTCGAGAAGTGGATAGCATAATTGTGAGCAAGCGCGTACTGGTGATGCAGGGCGTTGAAACACGGGGCGCCGAGGGAAAAAGTGCCTAGAGATTCGGGGTGACAGGCGAGATATTGAAGCCCCAGTAAGAAGCATGGTGAGGAAGATCCGCCAGGCGAGCAGAAGGAACGCCTCTTGATGCTGAAAGGTGGGCGTGAAGATGTAGGGAGTCTAGCTGAATGATGGTCATCGTAGGCACAGTCACATGATCTGCGGCCCAGTCGGGAACACCTTCTGTTACCAGTCCACCCCATATATTATCTACATAATTTAGTCCAGGCAAATTCCTGCTCTCCCATTCCGCCAAGAGGCATGGAAGGAAGTTGGGGAGTCCTCGGAGGGTAGGTGTTTCTTATGACGGTATCTGGGGGGGGTCAATAAAGGGCGATGATAACAATACCCCTGACGGCGTATGGGGGCGGCTATCCCCAGAGGCAAGCTAAAATATTAACCACAACAGGGCATTCACAGCTGCTACTAGGAGTAGGTGGGTTGCTTTACAAACGATATATCTCCACTATTTCCTCGCCATTATTCTCGAAAGCCCACCCAAACAGTGTCCGGCGATCAGGGTCATCCTCCGTCTCGAAGTCAGCGCACTGGTGTAGCAGTAGCAGCAGCAGTAGCAGCAAGAGTGGCAGCAACAGCCGCTTCAACACTGGTCATGATCATTCTTTGCAGCCAGCCGTAGCAGTCTCTGGCTCAAGCTGTCGTGACAGTCTGAATCGGCGCATCTCTCAAGCAGCAACATCGACGCTATCTCATGATAATCTCGTGTGCAGCGTTATGAAGCACTGTCAACGTTATAGATCTTTCACGAGATCTGCGCCAGGGTTACTGCTCTTGAACAAGCTGCCTCGGAAAACATCCAAGCAGAGATTCAGTGCGTCGTCCATCGTCATGCCGAAAGTTACAATATCCGCCAGCAGTAGCAACCCTACAGATATCATGGATTCCAATTGAAGGAATGATCGCCTTTCTATCACCGGGACCTTTTGGACAGAACAGCTTGTGCCTCGTGGTTCCTGGCCAAGTATAATATTGGTCTGATTCTAGAAACCATTGGCCAGTGCCCAACTGTCTCAAGAAGATGAGTCATGAATTCAGCTATGTGAGGCTATCGACATGGGTGCGACGGGCGGTGAGCAGCATCCTGGCCAGGTGAGGTCGAATGGCCGCTGGCAGATTGAGAGACTATGTCGTCGGTGTGGCCAGATTCACTTCATCTAGAATGCACTATGACGCAGATTGTCTCGGCTCCAGCTCAATTAATGACTTAAAAAGGGAAACACTTCGCACATCGTGTCCTGCCTATGTCTACCCCTCTGTTTATCGAGGCTCTATATAATCGCCAATCGCAGAAATGGCTTTCACATCAGACAACCGCATATCTTCTTTGAGGGAGCAGTTAAAGTCTCCGCCCAAAGCTTCCAAACAAATCCTTGGAACGCACATGACGAATGATCAATGCAAAGCTATCGATTTTGATCTCTGGATCGACTGTACGAAGGTAGTAGGAATCAGATCAGGGCAACTCGTGACGACCAATGCAAGTGGCTGTCGGGCATGGGAGAAGTCCACCGATCAGGACGGCTCCATATTTGAGGAGATAGTAGCTGGCTGGCTGCGTGAAAGTCCAACTGGAACAAGGTATGCTCACCTAGCCCAGTCCTATATTTCTTCTAAAACTAATCCCCAGCTTGGTTCCAGCTGGACGCTTCACAAATAAGCATTCTTCCCTGATGGTAGTTCCACGGCATTCAAATCTCATATCGAACGTCTAGCACGCGGCATCGCCTACGGCGGGTCTGTCGAGGTGGTGTTTCACAGGACATCCGCAGAGCCAGACGCCATGCCCGAGCAACACGACGTGCAAATTTGAGCAGAGTGGAGCTTCGAGTGTCCTTTCACTGCTGCCGATCAGATCTGGAACCAGGCGGTGATGAACGCAATGGTTGATCGGAAGAAGGATAGGGTCTCTCCAAGTCAAGACCTTAGGCCAGCTCATGGGATGTCTTCTTTCCGGACAGCTATTAGACAAGGTGGTATGTCTCGGGTTGTGTTGCGGGAGCAGGATGCGATGGGGTGAAGCATTCAGTCAGGCAATATTCGCAGTGGGGCTGTGATGGGTCAGCGTAAGAGTGTCTCTATAATTAAAATTCCACTGAAAGAATTGCTGTCACTGTTATGGACTATTTATTTGGCAATGATATTGCAGTGCTTTATTCGGTATTATAAGTCGGCCGCTTGTTTAACTTCGACCACTAACTCCAGCTTCACACCTTTGATGATTTGACGCAGACTCGTAGATGAGATTTATCTAGTGCAAAATGGGCGATCCAGCGAAGGACCCAGGCTAGGGAAGATAGGGTTGAGTATACGTGGGCTCGGAAGCGGAAAAAAAAAAGAAAAAAGATTATGCGACACCTGTGAGATTCGAACTCACGCGGGCGAACCCACTGGCTTAGCAGGCCAGCACCTTAACCACTCGGTCAAAGTGTCCATTGTTGATATTGTTGTCATGATTGTACATAAGTATCAAGCAATTAAGCAACGCAAAGGGATTTTGAGAATATCAGCCGAGTGAACAGACAATCATGTAAATCTTGGGGAAATACTCCGACTCGAGCCGCCAAATAGCCTCAATAAGATGTGCCAGTAAGGCCAACTCATTAACCTCATGCGTGTCATACGACTGACAAAATGCGTGGACACCCATCGAGTAGACTGCAGCAAGCAGGGAGTTATCCGGGGTTAGGTACGACAAGTCCGCGGACTTAGTGAGTACTGTAACTATTCCCACGGCCTCATTGCAGCGCTATCCCCGGAGCGTGATATTCAAAAGGCAGAAAGATCTGCTGATATTCTGATTCTTGTCATTCATCATCAACATCACCATCCTCACATTCATCATGACAACCACCAGACTCACCTGGCTCATAACCGGCTGCTCCTCCGGCTTCGGCCTCTCGCTGGCCCGCGCCGCCCAAGCCGGCGGACATCGAGTCATCGCGACCTCCCGCAATCCCTCGCGAATCCCCGACCTCGTTACTGAGATCGAGTCTGCAGGCGGGAAATGGGTCCAGCTGGACGTGGACAGTCGCACAAGCGGCGACGTCATCACCGAGCTCGAACACAGCGGGGACCACATCGACATTCTGGTCAACAACGCCGGCTACTGCATTTACGCCCCGGTCGAGATCTTCGCCGAGGGGGAGGTGCGAGCACAGATGGAGACCATGTACTTCGGCCCCTTGCGTCTCATCCGGGCCGTGCTGCCCCATATGCGTCGGCGCAAGTCGGGCGTGATCGTCAACATGAGCAGCGGGGCCTCGCTGGACGGCACCCCCACCATGGGGGTGTACGCGGGCGCAAAGGCGGGACTGGATGGTATGTACTATAACTTTGCGAGGAGGATGCTGCTTCGTCGAGGTGCATTTGCTAAATGTGGTTTCTGGTCAGCACTTACCAAGATCCTGGCTAAGGAGGTCGCTCCGTTCAATATCCGCACCTTGACGGTGGTGCTCGGGACTTTCAACACGAATATGCCGAACTCGGTGGTTCTGGAAAAGTTGCCCCTGCCGGAGAATTATAAGGGAACGGTGGTGGAACATATCCAGAGAATACTGGTAGACGGGAAGCTCAAACCGAACGGTGACAAGGACAAGGCCATGCAGGCTTTGTATGAGGTTATTGTCGGTGAGGGGGTTGGGGAAAGCCATCAGAATGAGAAGCTTCTGCCTCTAGGTAGTGATATGACTCCTCGGGTGCGAGGTGTCCAAGATTATCTCGGTCATGCTTTGGAGATCTTCGGCTCGGTGACCAATAGTGTTGGCGTTGATGGAGAGTAGATGGTCAAGCGCTTGGTGTGGGAGTAACGGAATTCCAGCAGTGGGATGTAATCCACATCCATGTGTCATGATGATAGTAATGCCTTGTGTAGAGGTTATATCCAAAGAGATATTAAAGCTGTCAGGTTATTTCTCATATTACTTTCAAAGCAAGGCGGAATCATTGCATGAGTGAAATTCGGGGCTCCGACCCCAATTAGGCAAGTCCGCTCACCAGCAGACAGTATAAGAAAAACAAATGAAACCAACCCAGTGGGCTTCAGAACAAGAAATTCTCCATGCTGACTGAGAAAGTATCACTCTGATAATTCAGTTAATAGACTCTTCGTTCAAATCCAATAATGCTTCGCACGCAGAAAGCACGTTATGACCTTAGGTATGTCGGTCGCACCGCGTCAGTCCATCGAGTACTGCCCTAACAGCACCTTCGAGTAGACTGGATAAGTCATGCATCTTCCTTCCAACAAGTCACTTTACTGGAAGCATGCCCTCCGCGACAGGGAAATTCTTCCTTTCCCTGCCTGAAGCCATATGGGCCAAAACCATCAAAGTCAGACTTGTCGGTCGGTTAAAAATGTAAAACATTTTTCTCCCAACCTCAACTCTAGCCGCTGTTTTTGTTTTCTAACCTCGTTTGCTTGTGAAGAAAACGAAACAATGAAATGATCACCGAAGACCGAGAACTCATCACCTACAAGGAAGAACAAGGGCTCGTCTCGTCCAAAACACACAGCTCCTTCCAAATCCCAGCGGGGAAATATGAATTTTTATTTGACATTCCGATCCCGAGCGATCTCTTTGAGACATCCGTCGGCCCCGATCACAACTACCATACATATCAGATCGAAGCCATCGTTGAGCGCCGAGTATGGAGAGATATTGTCGTGTCGCAAGTCCTGAGTATCTACAAGCTCCCTGAAGTGGAGCTATGTCCGCTGTCCGCGGAATCTCCACTGGTAACGCCCCATCTCCCTTTCCATATGCAAGTCTCACTAGGCTAAAAGAGCCCTATACAGACGATTGGAGGCGAATCAGCTCAGAATATCGAATACTGCATCTCGATCCCCAGCCCGACCATCCCCTTCGGGTCCATCTTCTCCGTGGACATGGGATTCCAGGCGCCATCCAAGGACGTCGACCTCTCAGCCCTAACATTAGAGGTGATCGAAAGCCACCACATCCGTCTGAATGCGACCGCCGCACAAGCAGCGCTGAATATCCTGTCCGTCAGCGCTTCGAGGACCCACTCCCTGTTCAAAGAAACACAGTCACCCGTTGGGGGAAGTGGATCCGTCAGTTGCACCGGCACGGAGTGGGCTGTGAGCTCGCGAGTGGCGCTGCCGCGGAGCGTGAGCCTGTGCTCGCAGAGCGTGCGGACGAAGATGGTCACGATCGACCATGCTTTCGAGGTCCGCGCGGAGTTTCGGGATCGGAACGGGCGGTTGTTCGATACGGTATGTTTGTCTCCTCTGGTGAGAACGAGAGCAAAGAGGTTGACAATGGTAGTAGATTGCGATCAGTATCCCGTTTTCCATCTACATGACTCCTCGGGTTATAGGGCCGGATGGGAGCATTTGCGAAAAGGTTCTGGAGTACGGTACGTGTCCGCCTCCACCGTATGAGAGGCACACGAGTCATGCTAGACTTCTGGATCCCAGTGAAGTGATGGACGACTCAGGGCAATGCACACTGTCCGTAGCAGACAGGATATTAGATGGTCAGGTGCAGCATCAATCTCAGCTTTTAGGGTTGGCAGCACCTTGCTACGAGCTAGCCACCGGCTGCGATCCGCCTGTCTACGCTCTGTGCTGAGCATAAAGCAATTCTCCAATTTAAACCCAAACTATATACCTCATGTCACTTCCACATAACTCAATAAACGAGACCCATCCTCGACCCCGCACATCCCACCATCCAACCCCTTACCAAAGAAATAAACCTCTCTCACTCCCCAATCTCCTTCCCTGAAGCGAGGACCGTCCCAAAAACGTCCCCAATCTCATACAGCGCGACATCCACCAGCGTGTCCGCCTCGACACCAGGAATCGCCCGATCGCCCACCGCCTCCTTCACAACCAACACCTCATACCCGAGCTCATGGCCCGCGCGGGCCGTCGTCGACACACAAACATGCGCCATATACCCGACGAGCACGATCTTTTTGCCCACCGCCCCCAGCCCCGCCAGGTGCTCGTGCAACTTCGTCTGCGCAAAGCAGCTGGGGAAATGCTTGAAGATGACCTTCTCGCCGGGGCGGGGTTGCAGCTCCTCGAATTCCTCGGCGAGCGGGGTGTCCGGCGTGAAGAGCGGGGCGCCCGCGGGCGTGCGGTGCAAAACGTGGACGATGTTCTGCTGGGCGCCGGCGGCGCGGTACCGGGCGAGGAGGTCGGCGATGGCGGCGCGGGATTGGGCCACGTTGTGCACTTGCAGCTTGCCGATGGCGTATTCGTTCTGCGCGTCGATGATGATGAGGGTGGAGTCGTGGAGGGTGGCGGTTGAGGGCGGGAGGTTGATGTGTTCGCGGAAGGAGAGGGGGGACATTTTTGTTGCTTGGGTTTGGGTTGAGAAGATGTATGAGTGGTGAATGACTTAAGGTGATGAAGATTGATGGAGAAGAGCTGGATACAGTGCTACGATTGTTGCGATGTGGTGGAGGGGTGAGGAGATATTTATTGTACAGTCCTGTAAACAAGAGGGGCTCGCATCTTGGCGGGGCTGGCTTGGGGCCGGGGCCCGGAGGGGAAAAGCCGAGGTGACTTGACACTCACCCCATCCTCTCATTTGTCAGGGGTTGTTCTCGATCACGTCATCAAAAAGTCAGCAGCGGTGGGATGGAAGAGTTATCCGGTGGGATGGACAGTAAAGAATGCTGTGTGTGTTGGGTCAGCCGGTGGGATGAGATACTAGTAGCTATCAAGCTACAGACATGATTATCAGATTGTGGGGTACAATTGACTCTATTCTCCTTTCAAATGTTCTTTCCCTCTGATTAACACCCTTCCAACTCAACCCCTTGTTTGCGGCACAGTATTGTTTAGAAGAGCATAGACTGTGCAGTAACTTACAGGATGGACGACTGCGGAAACCCACGGATCTCATACCCGGCAGCACTAAGCCCTAATCCCAGGAGACCCATCGATCAGGACAGTAGCTTTAGATTACTTACTCCCTTGTACTCTTTCTGTTCAAGAACTGGTGGTCTCTTCCATTGTCTGAGAGAAACAAGTCTCCTCCAGAATTGCTCATACCTTTCCGCAAAATTCGCTCTTGAAGTCCTCATTCTCTTCGCCACTATCCAGCTCAGATCGGAATCCATCTGCTTACCCACTCGACGGCGCTTTCCCGAAGCATCCGCACACAATCCTTTCTGCACAGTGCGTAGGTCATCCATGTCCCGTCATTTGCAACTATACGAGCTGGTCAAAAGGCCCAACATCCCCATTTTACCCTACACAAACGCAAGCAATCCAATCTTGCCCAATCTCCCAGAGGTATTCTGTTCTCCAGTGCAGTTCCAAAGTGACACATTGACCCCTCCCCCTTCCCCTCCAATTTTCAACCCACCAGACCCCCGGGGCATGGTCTACGGTTCCCCCATGCCGTCACCACCCGAACTTCACCACAGCGGAAGTGTTCCCCCGCTCGAGACAAGCGAACCAGAGAACCCGAAAATCTGGACCGATTTGGAGTCCAAGATACTGCAGCTCGTGTTTCTCTTAGGGGCGTGAACGAGAGAGGGGGATCTTCTCTCCTCCCCGGACGGGGGGTCTTGGACTAGGTGTTTCTTCTGTGGTACATGGACATCGTTTGGGAACCAGACAATTGCCATTTAGAACTTGACTTCTAGGTGACTGCGGAATTTAGAAGGTCGATCCGAAATTCTCGTGTTTTGCGATGCGCATCACCGTAAAAAGCACATATTGGAAGCTGTGGGGGCAGGTCTGGGTGGTCCCGAGGAGAGATCTTTCAAAGTACAAGACTCATTGGCATGACGGCGGGGATAACCCCGGGGACCCCGGGGCAAGGGACGTCATCCAACTTGAGTAAAACTGTGAGCAACAGCATACCCTGGGACGCAGTGTTGAGGATGATCGCCCAAAAACCCACTCCCGGCAGGACCCGGTCGGTGGGCGCCGTGGTGGCCCCAGCCCAGCGGGTGTCACTGGATCCATTACTGGTACCCTCGGCCAGCAATCTGACTGGCAACCACTAAATGCCCCCAGTGGAGGTACATACCCAGACTCCGGAGAAGGCGGAGATGTCGTGACAAATGCTTACCCATGTCACTGGCCTCTTGACGTTCCCTGGTGCTTGCTGACGTCTGATGAAGAGACGGATTGACACTCGTAAAGCTTCCATAGATGCTCGATACAGGGATACACACAACAAGAGGAAGATTTGAAGTTGGAAAGTGATTAAGTAGTTTAGATGGTTGAATTATTCTGAAGGATCTGAGCCCCACTAATGATACATTAATTCTAATTGTTGTAACCCAAACGCCGTGGATCTAACGCTTTTTTAGATTCCAACCGGTGAAATGTAGAATCCCAAACTCCAAGAACGACCGATGCCCTGAACCACGCAAAAAGAAATTCGCAACAAAGGTATAATAATGATTAAAAAGCATAGAGAGAAGGTTCAAAGATTATCAGCATAGGATAGCTTCTAGAGCTTCAACGTCGCCCCCAGCATTGCGCACGGCATTCAGCGCGGCCTCACTCAACTTGCGCCGTCGGTCGCGGGCTTCTTGTTCTCGTCGCGCCTTCGTCTTCGAGCTGCCGCTGGGAGCCACACCGGTAAGAATCTTCTTGCTGTCGTTGGCAGTGAAGTTCACGAAGGAGACGGTGACGGCCTTGCCGCGGGGACTGCCCGAGCTGGTGACTTTCGTAGCTGGTTTGGGAGCGCTCATGGAATTGCCTGATAGTTTGCGGCCGTTGCTATGACGGCGAGGGGTTTTGATGCCTCCTTGACATTGTACAATCGGTCTGCCTGTCGGAGGCGATCCGCTTCCCGGGGACAACGATGGGGAGCGTGAGGTACTTTGTAGTTGCGGTGTGGTGAAGGACGACGATTCCACGGACTGCTGGATGCTAGAGGAGCCGTGACTGTATGAGCGGCTTTGTTCGCCGCTGGCAGTGGATTGCATGCCAGATGGCGGGTATGAGTGACTTTGTGGTTGAGAGAGGTCGAATGAGGAGGGATCCAACTGGATCATGAGACCTCCCTGTAGCATGTCTTGTTGATTTGTAGAGCTTTGAGTCGGCCGCTGAGGGCAAGGCGAAGCGATAAGTTGTTGGTAGGAGGGTTGCCGCGGGGCGGTCCGGGACGTCATCGGTGACCACCACGTCTGAGAATCGTGGGTCTGCAATTCGGGGGTGTACGGCAAGCTAGAGGCAAGAGAGTCGGATTGCCACGAGGACATTGATTGAGGGTCGGACGACAGCGGGGAAGAGAAGATGTGGTCGGCGGAAGGCGGGCTTGATGTGCTCAGCGTGGAGCTGTTCGATTGACTCAGGAAACGTTGTTGTTGTCTTGCCAATGCGCCAGCCGATGGGGAAGGCATTGTGATGGCAGGAGATTGAGTGAACATGCTGGGCTCATAGTGGGTAGACATTTCTGGTTCCCGAGGCAGCACTTCTGCTGAGCGCGCCATAGGCATACCGACCTGATCGGCAGCCATGTTTTCTTGTTGAACGAGGATGTCGGATGGTGGTGGTGACAAAGGTAACTGAGCTTCGGAGCTACGGAAGGCGAAATCCTGGAATCGCTGTGCCCATGCTTCGGGGTAGGCCATCCTGCTTCGTTGGATTTGAGATGAGCGCGTTAAGCTGGGCGAAAAGCTTTGCTTGCGTAGTAAAGCGCGACGGTCATTGGAATCACGATGACGGCGGATCGACTTGGGAGTGACAAGCGCACTCTTAACTTTGCGATTGGGCGTAGCCGGAGGAGTGGACGGGGACGTGCGGGTGTCTGCGGTATAGGCGACTGAGGGAGCTTCAAGAGTGATGCTGAGATCTGAGACTGCCGAGGGGTGGATGGTGTCCTCTAAAGAGAAATGATGGCCTTGGCCTGCAGATACATCGGTGTCCTGTGCCAGACACCAGAAGTCCCGGCTCCACGACTGCACGGATGGATGCTGTTGCTTGGATGTGGGGATGGTAGGTGAGAGGTCGCCACAGTCGCTTGACAATGAATCCAGTTGAAATAGTTGGTCAAGATCGCCGGGGAATGAAACGTCTTTGTTGCCATCGACACAAGAGGTGTCCACATTGACGTACTGGTTGAATAAATCATTGAAAGTGTGATCCAAAGGTTGGGCGAACATTGTGTCGAGTCAAGTCGGAGAAACCCCTTCCGTTTGCGGAAATCGAGGTCAGGGAAGCTGCCAGATGGACCCAATAAACCCGCTGGAACGATTAGATTTTGACTGACAATTAAGCTCAGCGGGAGGGAAGAGTCTGGAGCAAGAAGGAAAGCCCCGGATAAGGTGCCGATAAGCTGTTCAGAATGGCTGGTATGTATGTATGTGGTGTTTGGTTGGGTTTGGTAGGTAGGGTTTGGCAAAAAAAGTCGAAGTGAGTGAAGCTGGATGTTTGGTAGAATGTTTGAGCTGTAGGCACGGTTTGACAAACTGACAATCAAAGAAAACAGTGCACAGGATGCAAAGAAAACAAAGCTATCAAACAACAGAGCAATGCTCCTATTTGAATTGTCGCGATGGCCTCCAGCCTCTGGGTTTCTGCATACATTCCTCGAGATCTAAAGATGGGTGAGGAATGTGGCCTCAGCAAATGGGCACAGGATGGACTGCACCTCACTCTGGCCCACCCACCATGATTGACTGGACAAACAGACCCACGGCTTGCGCACCTCCTGTCACTGCCAATCATTGTGCCCAGAGACCCTGGTGGCTGGAGGCCTCTCCATTTAGTGCCAGGGCTCGGGTTCCCCAATGGCCACCCGCTGGAATGCTACCCTGACTATACCAGAAACAGCTTCCACGTAGATCAGCTGCGCAATCATAGGTCCCAGTGCGAGGGTGACAAATCCGCTTTCTATTGTTTGGTAGAAGTTTGTATTGGTTCCAAGTAAGTGGGCTCAAATGATGGGTGACATAATGGACACTGAATGGCTTAAGGGGTGTGTGGACAGCCAGCTAAGTACAGTACCTAGAGATGACCAAGTGACGGAAAAAATACATCCAGTCTAAGCGTCATGGGGATTCTCCTTCCCTATAGAGTAGCTCCTCAACTGTGTCAGAATCATATTACGCTAACACCTCGTCTTGACTGCAAGCTTGCACCATGCTTTGCTCATCCGTCATTCGTAGATGCCAAAGAGCCAGGAAGGTTTCGGGCACTGGCATGTTGCGGCTGGGAAGAATGCGAGCCCCCAGCAACAATGCATGAACCACACAAACTTTCAGCTGCTTATGGTAATTGACAATCTAGAGCCATGATGGCCTCAGGCCTAAGTAGAGATGAGTACTGACGTGAGGTTTCTAATTTAATCCTCAATGCATCTGAGTCACGTGCCCTGAGCTCCCTGTGGTGCAGCCTCCTCCACCCATAGACAATCCTACCGTAGATCAGAGATTCAATTTTGGATTGAAGAGATCCATTTGAATACGCTTGGTTTTAGAACGTCATGCTTCGAAACGCAACGTGAGCCACGCGACGAACGGGATTGAGCATGCAATAATCGAACATGGAATCGAACTCTAAATGTAGCGCCACGACAGTTTCTTTATTCTCCATCTTGGCTAAACCAAAATGATTCGTCAGGTGAAGGAGATCTTCAGCCCTCATAAGCTGAGGAAGTTCATTCAAACATCCGTGGGGGCAATGTTTTCTCTTTGTCTGTTGTCAAATCTCTTTCCATGCCTCCGTACCATCCGCTCCGTACCATCCAATTTACGGTTGACTCTTTCCCTTCTCATGCGCTAGGGGACTTACAATAGCGGCCCCAATGCCCCATAGCGCGGGTACCACTGTTTGCCCGGTCACTTCACTCACTTTCCCCACGGCAGGTCTCTGTTCCGTCTTCCGTCGCCTACTCCACAATCGATGAAACCCTGAACTCGGGATGGACCCCAGCTTCGAGGCAGGCACAGATGACACCTAGTGTCACGCGGTCAGGCATTTATTTCGATGCTTACCCACCGTGAGCTCTATTGTACCCATTCCAAGGTCCAGGTGTCCTCAGTTCTAGCATGGCAAGTTGACAAAGACGAGCATGGATGCATACTCGAGTTGTGCCACTAATACTGATCACTCGCACAAAGGTCTTATGGAGGGGCGACTCCAGAGGACCAATGCTCTTTTATGGTATGGCCTCTACATCGTAGTCTCTTTTCCGAGACTTCATGCTTGTCCATGATACGGGGATTGTTATAAGTCAAAAAAAAAAAAAAAAAAACGGGATTGACACGCACACTACGCAGCCGCTCATCACTGATACCTGAACCGAGAAGGCCCTTCTAGATTCGATCATCGTCACAAATCTTGACAAAGATCTCATCGTTTTCTGTAACCAGGACATTGCATCTCCCTGCTCAAGCTTTGCACAGCATCGTTGAACACAAGCTCATTGAAAATGGTTACAAAAATATTAGAATAGCGTACTTACTCTCAATCTAACTACTCTAGTCGCCATTAGCGCTACCGTTCGCTATGCAGGGACTCAATCGGATAAACCCTCAACCCCAGGGTCATGAAGCTCTGGCGTGCGGCGAGAGGAGTAGATAACAAAAGTCATGCCGGGCAGTACAATAGGAGCCCCATGCCGCAGAGGATCCTGCCATGGCTCATCAGAGAAGAAAAACGATCAAAACGATTAGATTCGACATTTCAACAATGCATGGAAAACATATACAGGGCATTAATCTTGTCTATCGACAGAGACATTTTTGGTTCAGGTACCAGGGCTGTTTTTATATATTTATAGTTAAGCTGTGTTGGTTACGCGATATAAGGAATCCTCTATCTGGTGGCGCAGATCTCATGAATGACTCGATCGAAGCCTGTACGTGCCAGCACGGGCTCCACCACAAACTGTCCCCACAAGTCGATCAGCCATCTATCTTTGACTACGTGAAGTGTGAGCTTGCCTTCGAGCTCGCACTTACAAATAACGTGGAACTGACTATACTCATCACAGGCTACTTCCGTATAAAACTGAGCATAACTGCCCGACAGTATACAGCCAAAGAACGGGCCCGCCTCCGGGCGAGCGAGCCGCTCATTGAAGAATTTGAGCTCCAGTTTCTCCTCATAGAATTCCCAGTCCGTAGCCTCCGGATCGCCCGCTTCACATATCTTGAAAGTGAAGAAGTATCCATGTGGAGGACGAGGGCCTCCATTGAGCAAATTGGTATACATGGTGGAGTTGGTCATCTTGCTTGTTGCGTCTGGGGCGGATATCATAGAAGGGAATCACTCGGAACATGTTTGATGAACTGCACACTTAGACAAGAGAGGATGGTTTGTGCGTGGTCTTTATAGTCTAGAAAAGTTTCGTTCTAAGCCTCTGACAGAGAGTAACCCGCCTGTTCTCTTTTGTTTGGAGAAGGAGATCTCAATTCTTCCTCAACTCTGTTCCCGGGCAAGCGGGTGGGTTCCTGGGATTCGTCACTCCCCGAGGCCCAGTTGCCAGTCCATCCGGGAGATATCATCGAGGTATTTGTGATCCATGAGAAAAGTTCCACTAACTGCAATGGCGCTCGTGCATGGTGGTGCCTTGCTTTAGAGATGGTTCAATGTTGTCGCAGCCGGTTTGAGGTTTCTCTTATCTAAGAAGTAGATGGTTCTCGAACGAGATGCGTATCACTTAGCACCACGTCATGCTGTCATGTTCCAATGGAAGCAGTCCTTGAAGGTGCAAATAGAATCCCCATGGCTTTACCCTATACCTTGGTATCAAATGTGAATGGATTCTGCAAGCTTCTATCTATCTCATTGCGTCATCGGTGGACAAGATGGTGAGGTTATTCCATGGCTGGAACCGATCCTCCCCGCACCAACCCCAATTACCTCCTCTGGATGACAGTCGTCCAGAATGTGGCTGCGCCAATCCTTGCTACGAGTTTCGACGATACGAGAATCTGTCATGGGATAATCGGGAAGGTACGTATATAGGTAGCAGGGATGTATGAGATGTGGTGTCAGGAATCAGACTATATCGTACGACTGGGGAAAATTCCGGTGGTCCTCCACGTTGCCGCTGCAGTGTGCCCCTGCCCTGTCAGGGCTGGGTGTTATCTGGCTGGCAAGTGTGACAGCTGAGCTGAGTTGCCGAGGTGGAAAAATGTGGAAAAGTGGAAGAGTGGAAGAGTGGAAGGAGGGAGAAAGGCTTCTGGACGGGTCTGGCCCGGCCCAGGAGGAAAGTTGATGCGGGGTGGCAACTTGAAAGGTCACGGGGTCTCCAAAAGTGCCTGACCCACTCGGCCCGAAAGAGGAAATTTCGAGGTGGCTCTCCCTTCCTTCCTCATCATCCACTCACTCCTTCAGTTCCTGATCGGATCAGCCAACAACGCATCAATCATGCCATGGTTCTCTCGCATACTGCTTATGGATCGCCATCAGGGGGGTGTTCATCAATGGCTCCAGCAATGAGCATTGTTTCCATCTTTTAGCAGCACACAGCACACAGCACACAACCCCCATGGTGCCAGGTGCAGCAGCTCCCATTCCTCCGGCGGGCACTGCGGGCAACTGGCTGGCAGTCTCCCATCACCGCCTTTTCGGACTCCTCAGTGCACAATTTAAGGTTAGCCGTCTCCAGTAAAGTCCGGATGCGTGGCGGCAGACTAAGCTCACTAATTGCCGCTAACAGGCCTGCGTGACCTCTCCGGATTTCATATCTGTCAATATATCCATGCCTATTTTTGCACTCCCGAGAAAGATTAGGAAGTCCCGGGAATCATCACTGAGAAGCTGGTGGAAACATCGCCTATCTCAGTATGCCTGTCTGACTGACTGTTCTCTCTCTCTCTCTCTCTCCCCCCCACCCGTGCCCGGTGGAGCAATGGCCTGCAGCTACCTACTGCAATTCGCGTCCCATCCTTTTTGCCAACTCACCGTTGCCCCCAGAGGCAGCGGCAATAGCGACTTGGATGGAGTAAGCAGTTTACCAACCACATTGCTGATTGACAGTATCGGTGTCGACGGATTGAATTTATCACAGTTAGTATTTTTAGGTCGTCTGATCGTCGGCGCAGAGATTTCTGGAGCTGCCGAATGGGGTCGCTAAACGGCGGTTCTGCCCCTGATTGCGGCCTGTGTTTGGCCCCTTCCGAGCCCGTGGTGGGCCCCGTCTCGATAATCAATCGGTAGTTCCATCCTTTCTTATAAGTACCAGCTCGCCTCCTCCACTCGCTCCCATGAATTGACCCTCCATCTCTTTGCATTGTTGTTTCTCTCCTTTTCACACACCCATACAATTCGCATCACCATGGCCTTCGACTGCTACTGTGCCATTTGTGGTGTTGGGTTCTGTGGCATGCACATTGAACCCCCGTCGGAGGAGGCGCTGGAACGCCGCCGCCGATGGATCGAGAAGCGCTGTCGGGCCCTCCAGGCTGGGGAAAATCTCGCTCAGCTGCCACGCGATAGCGAAGAAGACGCGAATCCTGTTCGCAGTTACGACCCCCGCATTGTTGCGTGGGAGAACATCTCTTGGCTCTACAAAGCACACTGTCTCGGTATGAACCAGAACGCTACTGCGGGCTCGGCCAAGGCATTTCTCTCGGATGAAGGATATTACGCAGATGTTGGGGAGCTGGTTGTAAAGACTGGCTCCAACTCGAGCCGATCCAGCCAGAAAGTCTACTCGTGCTATGGCCAAGGCTCGGACGAGGCGCCTGGCCCCGTCCTTCCCTTCCACTGGTGCTGCTTCGAAATTCTCACTCACGCCCTTACCGGCTCCACGGACACCAAGAAGGTCAACCTGGACGTTCTCTACAATGTCATGAGTCCTCTTTGCAACATGAAGAGCTCCGCGTTGGATTTGAGCTATGGAGAGGATATTCAGCGCGCTCAAGGGCGCTATTGGGAGTGTATCCCAGGCGTAGAGGTAAGAGAATTTTCTAGTCTTCGTATTCCAATTATCCCACTAATTGTCTTCTCCATAGTACTGCGCAACCCACCCGACGGACACCCCCGCACTCCCTGCATATATTCACACAAACATGGAATCGAACAGCAAGCTTAAAATCGCCTCTGCTGACATTGACCTTCGTGAACGATGCCCCGCCAGTCCGTTCGGCAAACTCCCAGTCGAGCTCGTACATCAGATTTGCATGTTCCTCCCTGGCGACGACTTGAAATCTCTTGCTCGGGCCTCTTTGAGCGTTCACCTCGTTACTCAAGACAATCTTTTCTGGAAAAAATTCATGCAGTGGGACATGCCTTGGTTCTGGGAGCTGCAGGCCAGCAAAGGACAAAAGCTGAATGACGAGGTCAACTACAAGCAGCTGTATCTTTGGCTGGACAAAATGACCACCGCGCGGTACGGAATGGACGATGCGAACCTCATTGGGGTCGCAAACCGTCGACGTATCTGGGCCGTGTGCGAGGAGCTTGCAGATCGGTACCACAAGGGCTTGGCTCAAGCCCCTGCCGTCCCCATCGCATGTGCCAGTGGCTGAAATATGCCTACAATTGGGCAAGGTGCTCAGTACAACATTATGCACATACCTCGACCCTCTGCGACAACAACTCATCGGACTCGCATGCTGCTGCAGTGCGCCACCAGCGTGTCCTGCAGCACCTCCTGCAGCATGATCATTCTTTGAAGTCGCGCATACCGCTCGATGAGCTTTTGGCGGCAATCTGAGAAGATTTGCAACCTAATCTCACCCCCACAACCGACGAGCCGGTTTTCCACTCAGACTCAACGCCTTTAGCCACCGCTGGAGTACAGCCAAACGCGACCGGGAAGACGTGCCGTCGGGCACCGACACCACACATTATAATCTCACTCATAGACGACTGCATATATCGACATTTGGTTGGATTCTTCTGCATGCATGCTAGACATTTTGCATTTTTTTTGGGCACGAACGTCACGAATTATAGAATATACCATTTGACTATCACTTGGAATATTTTGTCCAGTGATCCGCACCTTCAAAGAGCCTTCTCCTTCGTAAAAAAAAGAAAAAAGCAAATTGATCAAGTAAATGGAGCCGCCTTCCTAGCAAGTGTAAGATCGCGTACAAGCAAATCCACCGAGCCATGTAGCAGCGTACTGTTTGCCATCAGTTGCCATCAGAGTCTTCGGCGGCGGAGTGGCGACTCCGGAGTGACTCAGGAAGGAATCTTTGCGCTTTGTTGGACTCCCGGCTGAATCCAAGCGGCGAGCGCCTCACCGCCTATCCGCTTCTCCATGTTGATCGCAATTGAAATCGGAGGTTTGACACTCGAAAGGCAAGGATCAACACTATTCAGCTTATACACTTGCACTTGCTGATTCAGCAGCATAAGTCATTTGCCTCGGTGAATGCACTGGAGGTGGAGAAGGCCACGTGATTATTACTTTCAACTCCAGGTAGCCTAACAGTGGCACTGCACGTGCCATCGTCGGTCTCACTAACAATATACCCTTTAGATTCGAGACTGATTCAGCCTCCAGTCTCTCAAACAAAATCGAAGATAGATACCTACTGGTAACTTGGTGCTCATACCTTATTTAGCCGAGACAAGCTGGAACCGATAGGAAAAGGAACGCTATACCGGATTTAGCAAGACAATCCTGGCGACCGAGAACTGAGCGAATGACATAAGCGGATGGCACGTGAGAGGGGGGCCTCGGCATCCATGATGAACCTTACCCCACCGTCCACGCCCGCCATCTTATCTCTTTTCTACTCCGGACTCGCCTGTCTGCCATGAAGCTTGTGCGCTGTTCTTGCAACATTGAGGTCAGACACTTGACACAGAAGGAGAGCTTCACTGCATAGATCCAGCTGGTTCTTATATTCTTTTCAAAAGTCATTCCTCGTCGTCTAGCCAATTCAACCACTCCAGATTCAAACGCGCCTTATCTGGCTTCTCCCAGTGCCCAAGCAGGCACAACCTCGGTCGACATCATGAGTGACGCTCTCTGTGGACCCTCGAACGCGCTTCAGAACTTTCAGAAACATGCCTCGACCGATCGGACCCTTCAGCAGGATAGGTTGACTTCACGGCAGGCACCCTCTCAGGTATGGAGCCTTTTGCCCCTCCGAGCCAGGCTCACTTTACTAACGTCGTCGTTGTCAGGGGTTCCGAAATCACAATCCCAGCACAGGCGTCCTTGACCCCGAGTTCGCTGCTTTCGAGTCCAATCTCGCGCCTGCACCACTTCGCGATCTCCAACATCCGGCTCATTTCGCCGCCCCCGCGCCTCAATTCCCCCTCGCCGGTCCCGCAGAATCGCCGAATTGGGCGACCGACTTTCAAAGACTGAACATCGCGGGCCCATCGGCAGTACACCATCAGCAACTTAACGTATCGCATGCGCCGCTCCCCTCCGCCTCCCAACAGGGCTGGCACAATGAATTTCTTCAGCACCAACATCAACAACAGCCCACGATGCAACAAGATCGCCCACTCGCTCACACCGAAGACTTCGAATCCTCATTCAGGCGCGGGGACAGAAGAATGCACCTCCTGAGATTCCACCCCCGGCACGCGACACCCGCTCCCCAACTATCCTCAGCAGCACCAACAACAACAACAGCAGCACCACCAACCGCAACCTTCGACGAATCCGCCTTCGAGGCCGCCTTCGCGCAAGCCAGCGCAGCGATAGCATCCCAAGAGACGGCGACCGAGACCGTCGCCGCAGAAGAAACAACCACCACGCCTCAACAAGACACCGCCGCCGACCTCACAACCGAAGAACAGGCCCCGATCGAGCAAATCAAGATCGGCTCCGACACCATCCCGCCCACAGAGAAGAGCACCGACCCCCAAGCGCAAGCCCACGACGCCGACGCGCTCGCGCGCACGGCCGGCCAGCTCGTCGACAGTCTCAAGCACGACACCAGCCAGAAGTTCCGGGAGAGTAACTTCCTGGCGCTGATGCGGCGCATCCGGGATCGCGAGGTGGAGATCAAGGGGGAAGAATTTCAAGAAGTCAGTAGTACCAGTTCGTGAATTCTGTTCTTGTATTTATCATGTCGGGTGGGGCCAAAGAATTACATTTTTGGGGAGGGGAACACGAGGGATGGGCGCGAAGAGCAAGCAACACACACCAAAAAAAAAGATTATCAGATGGGCCGGCAGCAATGTACAGTATACAGATTATGGAATACTGCCCCCTCGCCGGTATGATTGCAAACAAGGCCACACACACACACACACACAAACATCATTTCCGTGTTGTTCGAAAACTTCTCTTTTCTGATTCGCGGTTTCCCACACTTTTCAGACTTCGCAGACTCTCCATCCCGGTGGGAGGTATTATCCTGAAGGCCAGCGGCGAGCGGAGATGGCAGCTGGCGGTGGCAGTGGCCGTGGCAGTGGGCCGGCGGCCGGATCTACTGGTAAGCTCTTTGACTTTGGGGATGGGGTGATACTGAACATTGTTCAGGATGCTGACAAGTCTTTCGTGTTTCTGTTGCAATAGATACCCCGTCTCAAGGCGCGTCGAATCTATCCAGCCAACCTGCTCCCGTGACGGAGAGTGTCGCGGTGGAGGGCTCATTGGGCGACGCCGGCCTGCTCTCGGACACCTGGAACCACGGCGACCGCTGGGCTTGAGCAGTCGGCCGCGCACTGCTCCGGACCTACGAGCTTCACTATCCGACTCCCTTTCCCATCCGACTTTCAAAGAGGTGTGCACGGGAGTAGGGAGAGTTGGGGCCTGGTGAGGTCCCCAACATTTGGACCGTGTGTTCTATCGGAAAGCATTGTGGTTATCACTGGAATCAACGCATCTAATTGCATATCAGCACATTTAGACTCATTGAGCTATTTCCTCTTTCGGGGTGTATCAAATCGTCTTTCTTCCTCGCCTGGCCTTAATAACTTTCCATTTGGACACTTTTTCCTCGGCACACAGGCCGTTTCGAGAACTGGGTACTAGCAAATAGATTCTCCCCTTATCGTATACAGAGTGCAGGCCGGAATATATCTACAGCTAATTGGTGGTGCTGAAGGAACGCTCCAAGCCTTGATTCTTCCTTTTTTAAGATAAACCCCATCGCCACGTAGGTGAACAGCTTACACACTAGTGAAAATAGGCGAGGCCTCTGGATCGCAATGATCAAGCTTATTTCAGCTCTCCCGCTGCAACGCGGCCTCCAAGATCAAGAACCACGCGGTAAGGAGACGGTCGCGACCGCTCGCTATGGCCGTGATCATAACGCACCATTACGTTTCGTTTACTTTTACATTTACGATTCTTCAGGTGAGAAGTCCCAAAGATAATATCAGATCCCAGGAAAAGATCCCAATCAAACATGATATAAACAAAAAATCGAATAATGTATAGTTTCAAAACGAAAGAATAGGTATAGCTCTAGATGCCAACATATAAATCTAGAAAAAAGAAAATATCTGGAACAATCTAAACCAGTAAATTGCTCTTTCTCCCCTTCTGGCCGAAGATCCTCGTGACACAGCAACATTAGAATATCACCCCGAAAATTAAAGCAAACCATCTAGAATCGAGAAGAGAAAAGAGATCAACAACAAGGCAAGAGGGGAGGAAAATGCAAAGCCTGCTTAAATGCACTTCATAAACACATGCAAACATGCAAACATGAATAACATCAACAAATCAGAGAAGAAGGGGCCACATAAATACAAGAATGATGAGGGGGATTGATCAGACTTTGTACGGGACAAGAAACAATACTGGAGACTGACGGAGAAGGAAACAGGACAAAGAGGGGGTATAGAGAGGCACGCAAGGTGCGATTTTTTAGAAACTGAACAATCCACTCCGACGCTTGCCGAAGGGATACACGATCAAGGCAGACACAAACAATCCCACCGTAATACCGATGGCCACCTGGATCATACCGAAACCAAGGCTGGAGATACTGGCGTCCGAGGTCGTGCTGCTGGCGCTGGTCCCGTTCTTCAGGTTTTCGCGCACCTCGTCGGCGTATTCGATACCCGACAGCAAGGAACCTGAGGAGGCGAGGCCAGAGGGCACCAGCACGAAGATACCGGGCAGGATGGCCGTGGCGGCGTGGCCGTGCCACAGGCGACTGTACAGGTTGCCCAGCAGACCGATCGTGAAGGCGCCGACGGTGTTGGCGACCTCCGAGCTTGAGCCGAGTTTAAGCGTGCTGAAGTAGTTGGTCACGTAGCCGCAGGTGGCGATGACGATCATGACCGGCACCTGCTTCCATTTGCCCTGGTTGATGATGGCGAGGAAGATGACGTAGATCGGGACGAAGACGAAGTGCTGCGTGTACTTGCTGCCGTAGACATCCTGGTTCGGGCACGTGGTCGTCGAGCTGGCCGCACCGTCGATCAAACCGTAAATAGTCGTCCCGACCGTGATACCGTAGCCGAGGAACAGCGAGTAGATGATCGAGTAGACCATGCGAATGGAGCCGGCGATCATCTGGTGGGACTGCAGTTCCAAACTACTGCAGAGAACCATAAATCCCGGGAGGATGAGAGCGATGGAAGACTGCGCCAGCGCGGAGAAGCAGAAGATGTAATTCAGAGAGCCGTCGGCATTCTTGCCGCGGTGAATGGACCCGAAGGCGCGGGCAAGGAAGGAGGTCAGGATGGCGGCGGTGACCTCGAACACGTTGGAGTACAGAACGGAGCGCGGGGCCAGGACGTGCTGCATGAGTCCGACGAGGCTGCCCAGGAAGAAGATGATGGGCATGTCGATCGGGCGTGCTTCGAAGGCGAATGGACCGACCGCACAGCTGGCCAACCCGTAGGCCAGCACGAGAATCCACTTGTTGAACCGGGGAGGTCGCTTCATAATGAAATCCAATTCCTGAATCGCCTCCTCCACGCCAATAAGATCATGGACGACATTCTTGTACACGTTGTGCGTTTCCGCCAACCGGCCCAGGTCCACCCCCTGCACGACTCGGACCAACTTGACCTCGGCGGTGCGGGTGGTCGGATCGTCGAAGGACATGATCATACATCCCGGCAGATACAAGAACTGACCTTCGACTTCCAGGACTCGGGCCGTCATTTGCATGTACTCCTCGAGACGGTGGGTGGGGGCGCCGTACCGCATTAGCGCCCGGCACAGCTGCATGATGTAACGCTGCCGGGCCAGGATTTCGGCGATATGCACGGTGACGCGGATTTCGTCCTCCAGCCGAGTTTTGCGCGACTTCTTCTTCCCCTTCTTCGGTGGTTGCGGCAGCATCACCAGCGTATCGGCAGACGCCGGCAGACTCGCCCGACTGAGGTTCATCGATGCGGACACCAGCGAGGCGGTGGAGTGATGATTCGATTTCTTGTACCATTTCAGCTTCTCCTTCTTGGGAGTCGCCGTCCCTGACGAAAAGTCCCGGCGCGGGGTAGCGGTCCCCGACGAGGCCACCGATTCGTTGTCGGACGAGTCCGTGACGGACATGTTATCTTTCGCCTGCGCGGCATGGAGCTTCAGCAACTGCGAGAGAATACCACCGCCGCCCGCACCAGGGCGGGGCGGGGTGGCACCCCCATACCAGGAGTCCGGTCGACTTGATTCATCGGGCGTGCTGGTTCCGGAGCGTGCGTAAGCAGACTTAGGTTTGCGGTTGCGCAAGTGATGCTGGGTCATGCTGCGCACCAGTCTATGGGCCTCTGCGCTGGGTGGCGGCGGTGTTTCGTCGCGATCGCGGTTGTGAATATCAAACGGATCCTTTTCCTCTCCTCCACGGCGCGGCGGTGCTGGTCCAAGTCCTCTCTCCAAATCATCGGGTAGCATGGCGGCGCCGAGGTCACCACCGTCGTCGTCCGAGGGTCTACCCAAGCGTTCACCCAGGTTGACGGTCTTCTGACGAAGCAGTTTGCTGGCGTGCTTCCAGCGGTCTCGAGCGGACATCGGATGCGCGGGCTGCTCCTCCTTCTCGATGGAAGACTTGGGAGTGTCGCCGTCGGTAGGTGGGGAGGCGCGTCGGTGTGCCGATTGCTCGACGCCTGCTTCGATCTCGGGTCCAGGCTCTCCATCGCCGGGGAAGTACTCGGTAAGATCGGCGGATTCTGATGTGGGCATCATAGAATGGACGGATTGAAGCGAGCGGACGGAATAATCGGAGTCTGCTCGGGGCATAGGCGGCCGCTGCGGTGCACTCTCGCCATGATTGCTCACTGAGCGGAATCGGACTCGAGTCGGCCTCGTCGTTGACGTCTCGTGCGGAGTGTCGCTGGGAGGTGGTGCAGAGGTCACCTCTTCAGGGAAGGTAGGAGAATTGGGGGTGGTCTGGGGGCTGGGATTGTGAGCTACCGCATCGTGACCCTCGAAGCTGTTCTCGCGATCTAGCAGCTCATAGGAGGCACCTTCCCGGTGTGGTTCGGACATTTGAGTAGTCCAAGCAGCCTGCTGCAAGGACCGGGATCTCTATCGGGTATGTGCAGTATGAAGTAAAGTATGTACGGGAGGGAAGATATGAACAGAGAGGGAAGAGGGAAGATGCAGATCCGCGAGACACAAGAACAGCCACCAGGCACAAACGGAACGAAAAACGTCAAGAGGATAGAAAAACTGGAGAAGGACAAGGGGGTAGCCGGAGAAAAAAGGGAAAAAGGCAAAAAAGCTTTTGAAGCGTGGAACCGGCGGACCAGTGGGTGGAGTGCGCGAGGAACCCAAAGAAAACAACGGCGTGGATGGCGTAACCAAAAATAAGTCTGGAATCCTCGATGGTCTAGAGTCCGGTCAGGCAAAGCGAAGTTGGTTTGGAAAGCTTTTTAAAGCTGATCGACTGTTTAGAGAGCGACAATCGTGGGGAGATAGCGGTGGGATATCGACTGACAGACAGTCTGTGAATGTCTTACCCTCCCTCTCCGCTCATGACTTCATCCGGGAAATATTGATAAAGTGATTGGCAACGAAAGCGTGCCTTGGAGGGGGGGGGGAGAAAATGGCCGCGGTGGATCCCAGCCGAAGACTATGAGTGAATAGGAACCAAGACAGGCACCGGAGCCGTAGAATGATCAGCCAAAACGGGTGACTGACAGCTCATCACCCCTCTGTTTCTGTGTGTGTGTGTGTGTGTGTGTGTCTGTCGGTTTGTCTATCACCCTGGTCCGTTTCGCAATGTCGTCTCGGATCGACCGTCTTCCCTTATCATCGTTAATACTGTCTTCATTGTGATGGTCGGGATGGTCTTCGGAAGCAGGACTGGCTGTGGCTTGATCGACCCCACCGGGCTTGCGGTTAGATGACAACAGCACACAGCGGTTTCACCACAGTCGCGCCTCGCCTGCGGGTGGCTTGAAGCCCCCTTGTGCAGTGGTGCACCTTGTGCAGGAGGAAATGAGCACTGCATGTCGCAGTGAGGCACCAGGGCTCCCTCCAATGGGGAGTGTACGATTCGCCGGATGATGACCATGATCAGTGGATAAATTCTGATTTGTGAATTGAGTTCCGACCGCGCAATGCCGGGTTAGTTGGATAAACTAAGCTGGGTGGGGGGGGGGAGTGAAAGAGGGAAATGAGGATGGTGGGTGGTGGCGACTGGCGAGAATTGGAAGTGCAGTGCAAGTTGTTGGGTTCCCCAATCGGGGAGGTATCGCGGAGTCGAGTCCCCTTCGCATCACGTGATAGGATAGTCTAGAATCTCTCACTCTCTGGAAGCGCTGGTGGCTTGCGAGGTTTGTTCCACCATTCCACCTGCAAAAAACTATGATTGATTCTCGCCGCGTCATGAATATCATCATCTCTGGTCGTCGTCAATTCTATTTTTGCAGAGAAGCGCCTCTTCTCTATCCCTGGTTACCGGGGAAAGCTTCATGCCCATGCATAGATGCCTGATTCGACTGCACTGATCATCGAGAGGCTTATACGTCCAATTGGGTCCCAAAGTTCCCTCTTTCGCGTCAGACTATGGAGTAGATCGAAGACTAACTATTGAGATCTATTGTCCGAGAGTGGGAAAACTCGAGCAGTGCAGCCCCCTATTTCCAATTTCTAGAACGGCCCCAGCCCGTCCGAGCTTATCGCCCATCCGAGTCCGCGGCAATTAGTGCCGCCGGCTGCATAAGAGGATGACTATTCCGAACTATACGGGCCATTTGCCTGCGCCATGGCGCCCATGTTCTGGCTTCCCGAGCGGTGGTATACGGTTGATCTGGCAGGACCAGTCTCGAATCATGGCTCGGCCAAGGACAGCATTGCATTGATCCTACGGTTCTACGAAAATAGAATGGAGCTCTGATCATTCTCAACGTGCCTGGGGCCAGCTCGCCATCAGAGCTCTATCTATACTACTGTACGGAGTACACATCGGACAAGCCCCCTGCCAATTTCTCGATCCACTATTAAGCCGATGGAACTCCCGCTTCCTCCGATGTCTTTGCCTTCGGTGGTGCCGAAGGGTCGTGTAACATCAACAAAGCAATTCTCATACTCACAATAGTAGCCTGCATTTGCAACATCGCCTACTCCTTCACAACTCGCCGCATCGCCGTCATCCACTGGACGACATGGCTCAAGAGGGGCAACGCGGAACCTCTGTTTTCGGTTTGCGGTTTCATGCGTTGCGTGGTGTAAATTCTTTATGGGGCTCGGCGCATGTCATGCTTATGTAGCGGGTCGTAAGATGCGGCAAGGAATGAAAGGAGTTTCTATCGCTTCAACACGACTCCAAGCATGACATGGTCATGACTCGACGCTTTCAGAAAATGCAGCAGGTCGTTGGCAAACATCAATATCTATGACAGCATGAACCTTCAGGCCAAAATGCCCCGCACAGTCACAATAGTCGAGTTGGAACAAGGTGATTGTGTGTATTGATTAGTCATGTTGCGGCATAAGGTCTTGGTCGAATGGAAGTGCTGAGCTCGAGGCCTGTCTACTGAGTGGAGATTGGTGTCGAGTATATTGCGGGTTGGAACAGGCGAAATACTTGATATCTTAAGTCTCTTCATTCTTCAGATGTGATTGTGTACCTGGTTTATGTTAAAATACTTGAGAGTTGTAGCCCAGATCAGCCCAATCCAGAGGTGAAGGTATATATCCGCTACTTGCATCCGCCAAGGTAATATTGTAAGGATTCTGGATTGGACAATGCACAATCTGAGCAAGAAATGACAAATCGCTAAACGTCGTAGTCGCATGTAGTCACTTATACGGGGCATTAGCAAGAAGATGAACTATACATAATGTGCATCCACAGCCTAGTCCTCAACCTCGTCTGGCAGAAGATGAGGATTTCCGGATGAACGAAGTCAAGGTAACTTCGAATTCCATCGACAGGTTAGAGTGCATCACATGCTTTATTATGGTGGAAAGGTTTGTCGCAGTGAAGTGGTCACTGGACTGTATCGTATACCTGAATTCGTCTGACCGAGTTCATTCTTTCCGACAATGGCCAATCTGCTTTGCGGGCTATGCCTATCTACGAGTACATGGCAATGTACCGTACTTCAGAAATAGTAGGAAGAACCGGAGCAACTAACAATGCGCTGAAATAGACTACGTGCGGATGAATGGGTTATCCTGAGACCCAACCTCTATCCAAACGAGAGAAATCTGCTAACTGGAGAGTACCCCCGCAGCGGACGAGCTGACAACGTACGAAACCTCAACACACGCCACGGTCGATATCGCAGAGACGGTTCGTGCACGCTTGTTATACGTTTGCCCGCCGTGCGCAAGCATGAAATCGCGAAATGGATGCCCGATGACACGTTAAAAGTGTGGAAGTCATGAAGCGGACAGCATGCTCGCGTTGAGTAAGAATACGAGCCGCCAAGCGGAACGCGAGGCCGCTGTCGGGAATACGAGTGCCTGCGTTGGGGAAATTCCTAAAGGGTATAACATCACCGAATGTTCCTCCCCCATTCGTGCAGCCTCGGAGTTGACGACGTGGGAGGAGGCGAATCGCGTAGGCAGTGCTATGGCAGCGCTCCTCAAGCTGAAACTTCACTGAGACGGACACTGTTATGAATGCATGGCACTGGCAGCACACGTAACGTAGTCGATCAAACGCGAATAATGCGGATGATCGCCAGAGATCTTCTAGGGATCTGTCTAGCTATTTATATCAAGACATGCGGGGGCATTGCGGGCCAGGAACATCGACTGAATAAAGTCGATGTTGGATCGAGTTTTGTTGATGGGACCCGAGAGGTTCGCAGGATATTCGTGGCATGGTGTTCAACAAAGAAGGGGCGAGCTGGGCATCCCAAGGTAAATATAATATACGGTGCAATCCCAAGGGGAAGGGAATGCAATAGGGGGCTTGATGAGTGAGCCCTGTGGGAGAGCGGCATGCGCTAATGTCCTGTCAACAAAAGCCGAAGATAGAGGTCATGTGATCCATGAGCCGGCACATAGCTGAGGAAGGAAGAATAAGGTGAACCTCTTGATCCTTCTCAGCACGCGAGAAACGGCTGCAGGAACGTGACCGGCCGTCAATCAACCACCAGATGTGAGCATCAATCACTCAATTGACAGGTAGCGCGGTGCTTAGTCCATGATCTTATTCGCAGACTGCACACGAACGCACCCCTTGTCATGGAGAAATCCCCAAAGAATGCCCCTAAATAGCTCACAATAATCTCCGACGATAAATTGCGGAGAGGGGATATCTCCTTTGTGCAGGTTGATTGAGCCAAAACTCCAGACGAGTTGAATCAGGGGGGGGGAGGGGGAGCATGGCGGAGAGGAGAGTGTGATCCATGATCCACCAATGATAGAGTCTCTCGGGCGCAGAAGCTCGAAGAATTGGCTAGACTGCATTCACCACGGAAGTTGCAACGGCCGAGCCCAGACAGGGGGAGTCATTAGTACGGCCCGGTGGAGATCTGCGTTCATGCGTATCCCAGATCACGCCATTAGCACCACTGAGCTGAGGTGTTTCCCACTTTCTGCCCGGTTCTTTCAGAGCGTAACCGTGGAACGTCTCGGGTGCGATGGAATCTCAATAGCAAGAATAACGATGGCGTAGTCGAGTCAATGAGAAGCGATGCGAGCGAATACGAACCTGCGGAGGCGCTAAGGAGCATCAGAGTCAGCAAGCATGTCTTACTGATTCGCAACGGCAGCTCTCGTCAGCGAGGCGGAGCGGGCCAAAGGGTAGAGAATCTCAGGACCGTCCGGAGCAGGGATAAAAATGGCATTTGGGGGAGAGAGGGGAGAGGGGGGCGGGGCCAAACCTGGAGGGTAGAGCAATCAGATAATCCGATCACCGATGATGAAGAAGGGGGGCCGGAAGAGGGTTCCACAATCTCGACCGGAGCGTGTCGCAGGTTGAAAGGGAATGGGAAAGTGGATGGGAAAGTGGATGAAGGAAAGAGGAGTCGAGAGGGGGTACGAGTTTCCCCCAAGTCCCTCAAGTTACTCGAGTTCACACCTTCAGGGGGGGGGTTCAATTGGTACCGCCTCCCATTCCAGCCTGGCTTTGTAGGTAATGCTTACGGTATCATACGGCTCCATACGGCCCCCAAACATCGTCCCCAAGGTACATTCCTGCTGAGCATGAGTCAAATACCACATATCTTACAGTACAGTACGGATACTTGGCTGACGAAGGGAGACTCCGCCCCCTTGCGAAAAGGAGACGCCCCCTCAACTGACCCTCAACTGACCACGCTGGCCTTTTAAAGAGGCAATCTTTCCCTCTCCCAGACTGTCTGATCTGAAAGCAGTCAACCCTCTCCATCTTATTACTTTGGCTACCTTTGTGGACAGTTGTCCTCTTCCCATTTCCTCCCCCAGCTTCCGTTTTGGGTCCAACCAACCAGAACGTTGCTGGTCAACCACCTGGCCCCTCCCCCAGACCCGGCTTGTACCGTGATGACACCGTGGCCTCTGTCCCTGTGACCTGGGCAAAAAAAAAGAGACGTGATCGAGCTACGCCTTCCTGAGCATTGAGCATCACCTTACTTTCGTGACCCATACAGTCTACGATTAGACAGATCAACATATCGCCTTTGCAAGATGGAAGGCGGTTTCTCTCCAGTGGAATCCTTGGCTGGTTCGCCGGCTCCGGAAATTCCCATGCTCACCGTCTCCCCAGCGGACACTTCCTTGAATGATCCCACCGTCAAGGCTGAAGCTAAGTCAGAGGACAAGAAGCCTGCGAAGAAGAGAAAGTCATGGGGCCAGGAGTTGCCAGTCCCTAAGACCAACCTTCCTCCAAGGTATGTACTTCCATGCAAGGGCGTCCGAAGAATCGAATGAAGCATGATGATGCTAACGTACGAATCTAGGAAACGGGCCAAGACGGAGGACGAAAAGGAGCAGCGCCGCATCGAGCGTGTTCTTCGGAATCGGGCTGCTGCACAAACTTCTCGAGAGCGCAAGCGCCTCGAGATGGAGAAACTAGAAAACGAGAAAATCCAGATGGAGCAACAGAACCAGTTCCTTCTTCAGCGCTTGACCCAGATGGAAGCCGAAAACAACCGCCTGAACCAACAAGTCGCTCAACTGTCCGCCGAGGTCAGGGGTTCCCGTGGCAACACTCCCAAGCCCGGCTCCCCTGCTTCGGCCTCTCCCACCCTTACGCCGACCCTGTTCAAGCAGGAGCGCGACGAACTCCCCCTCGACCGAATCCCCTTCCCGACCTCTCCTTACACCGACTACTCCCCCACTCTTCGGCCTTCCACTCTGGCTGAGTCCTCCGACTTGACACAACATCCTGCAGCGGTGTTGTGCGACCTGCAGTGTCAGTCGCTGGCCTCGAAGGAGATGGAAGCGCCCTCTCGCTGTTTGAGCTCGGCTCAAACGTGGAACCTCACGCTGCAGATGACCTTGCAGCTCCTCTTTCTGACGACGACTTCAACCGCCTATTCAGCGGTGATTCACCCGCTGGGTCGGATTCTTCAGTCCTTGAAGACGGGTTCGCGTTTGACCTTCTCGACGGAGGAGATCTATCAGCATTTCCATTTGATTCTATGGTTAATTTCGACCCCGACTCTGTCAACTTCGACGGCATCGACCCGCCCCACGGTCTTCCGGACGAAGCTTCTTGCCAGACTTCTAGCGTGCAACCCAGCCTTGGCGCGTCCACTACGCGATGCGACGGGCAGGGCCTTGCAGCTGGCTGCTAATCAGAAGTTCTCTCCCCAAGACCGACCCGCTGGCGGTGTCGGCGAAGCTCGATGGAGCTGGGAGTCTTTATTAACCCTAGCTTGGACGATAGATCTACTCGAAAAGCCGGGACGACGCAAACGAATCTTGAAGGGTTTGAAATCCGCGCAGCATGGACGGCGCAGGCATCATCATCATGGGAAACTTCTACACCAACGGGGTCTACGGAGTTCACGGAGTTCAGGTAGCGCCAGCAAGACGTTGACGTCTTCGCTTTTGGGCAAGCGCCGTTGAAGAGATTTGCTGTAAACTAGCGTGAAAACCTTAATTACTATTAACGGAGAGCCTGTATGATGGCTATATCTTATCATCTTATTCCTTCAATGTTGCGTAGCTCTCTAACTTGCCGACTTCCGACCGACCGACCGATCATCTCTGAGTGCTTGCGTCATGCCATGACTAAGCTAGTTATGCAGTGATGCACAGCCTAAGCCTGCCGCAGCCACCACTTAAGTTTACCATCTTGTGCTCCCCATGCACCAGGATCAAAGGTGGCTGCAACAAAAGACGGGCAGTCTTACATGCTACTCAATCCGTTCTAGACCACTTGCCGCTAATGTGACAGCCATTTATCACTGACTGACCCAGTTGTTGAGCACCTCCACATTTTGCGGGTCAATCGAGGAAGAGTGTACTAAAGATAAGGAATATACGAATATACGGGCCGTTCCTGGGGAAGGAGCTGATTCCACGTGACGATAAGCTATTTAGCTAACTTAATCTACACTCCTGTTTCTCCCCGATGAGTTTCAAAGAATAGCACCAATATCCACTTCCATTCTCTCAATCTCTCAATCTCTCAATCCTCGACTAAGTCACTAGCTCACTGGACAGCATTGTTATCCAGGCATGGCGGGACGATTTAGTGCATGGGGCAGCTCCCTTCGGCAAAGGCTATCATCGCCATCGCCATCTTCTTCACGAAGATTATCCAAGATCTCATATACGACTTTGCCTCTTGACACGCCTGTCGAAGAGGAGACGTTGGCCTACTATAAACCTGAGCATTACTATCCCATTAAGATTGGCGACGTATACGAGACCCGGTATCAGGTTACGGGTAAGCTCGGTTATGGGGCGTATTCCACAAGCTGGCTATGCCGGGATCTCCAGTGCGTTCTGACGAACGACCCTTCTCCCAGTGACCGTGCAGGCACTTAACAGCTCAATATACACCCAGGAGCGACCAGTATGAAGTGTTGAAGGTGTCTACATCGCTGCCATCAGTTCCGACCGCATCAGGTCGCGAGCTTAAGATCTATGAGCATCTAGCCAGAGTCAATTCTACGCATCCAGGCCAAGCGCTGATCCGCGAGCTTTATGATTCCTTCGATCTTCACGGACCTGCCGGGAAACACCGCTGCCTAGTGCTACAGCCAATGCATATGACCTTGTTAGAGATGATGGGGCTTAATCCCAAGCCATTCAACCTGCCTCTTCTAAAAATGACGGTGAAGCGTCTGCTTCTGGCCCTGGACTTCTTACACACCGAAGCCAATGTCATCCACACTGGTATGTAGTGCGCACCGATCACCCCCTTCACCCCCAATACGAAGCCAGACTGCCTACTCCTAACTCACTATCAGACATAAAGACGGACAACCTAATGCTTAGTCTCGAGGACGAGGGCATGCTGGCGGACTTTGCGACAGCCGAAGCCGAGGATCCCAGCCCTCGGAAGCAGATTGATCAGTCGCGTGTCATCTACCAGAGTCGGCGATTCCGTCGACCGTCTGCATGTAAAAGTTATGGACGCCCAATTCTGTGCGATTTTGGGGAGGCACGGATTGGCACTCAGCAGGAGTCCGGGCCCTTTGTTCAACCGCACATCTTTCGGGCGCCAGAGATCATCTTCGAAATGCCCTGGGGAAGCGCCGTCAATACCTGGAACCTGGCATGCTTGGTAAGTCCGGGCCAGGTTATGCAGCTATTAACATCTCAGCGTGCTGATGTCAGTTGGCAGATATGGGACCTTTTCGAAGGGGAGCATTTGTTCGAAGATATTTTCGATGCCAAAGGCGGCCACGACCCGTTCAGGCATCTGGCACGTATGGTCGCCTTGATGGGGCCGCCGCCAGAGGAATTTCATTCCGCCGCAGTGAAACGACCGAACAGTGTTTTGACCCTAGTGGTAAATTCCTTCTAGCTTGCGGTCCCAATTGAAGTTGTCCACCTGACATGTTTTGCCAGGCGCCTGGGTTGCCCATGAGGAAGCAGTTGTGCCAATGATCTCCTTAGGGAGCCTAGAAAAGCGACTCGCAGGGGAAGAGAAGGCGGAGTTCATTCGATTCATGATGTCAATGCTGAAGTGGCTACCAGAGGAACGCAAGACAGCGAAGCAGCTGCTCGAGGACCCGTGGTATTCTGATGTTTCACCGAAACATGCTTCCTTTGTCACATTGGCTATAGATTCATGCTTGGCTTTACCTGCTTTCTCCCGCCACAGATAAGATCTCTTGGCTTAGCGCCAGCCTCGTCCTATCCATCCGCGCTGTCATAATACAAGCGCCCAGAAAAAGCAAGCTAGCCACCGATCGGGGCTATATCAAGGCGTCAGAAGTCTACGGCTGATCAGAAGTCCCACCGCAATTTCCCATGTATTCCCTTGAGAAAGCCTAATCAGTCTGTCCTGCAATCTTCTGACCTGACCGGTATCTCCCCTCGTGAATTAATATTCGTCTTGACTTGCGCAGTGTCTCCCACCATGGCAACCATTATCCGCCATTCATCTCCTACGTTGGAAAGACTACGTTGAGTGACTTCAAGAACTAGACGCACTCGACACTTGTCGACGAGTATTGCTAGGAACAAGAAGCACGCGTATGTTGTACTTTGTTGGCTTCCCATGGAACCCCCCCTCCCCCCGGGCTAGAGCCTCCATTTCGCATCATGGTGACTAATCTCTTGACAGGATCCTCGCATAGCGCAAGCCGCTATCCAGATAACCGAGCTTCACCAGTCTCACAAGGACCTGATCGATCCGAAGAAGGTCATCTCCATCTAGTTCCTGGACAAGAATGGCAATAGAGTAGGAATGGGGCATCTTCACGACGATGGAACATAGAAGCTCCGTTACAAGCAGAAGCCACCTCCGGAATCCCCATCATCTGGTTTCGAATAGGTCGGGGGGGGGGTTCCGGTTTTGGTATTCTACGGTTTCACCAAGTAGAACTCCGTATACCCATCGAAAGAATCTTTCTGAAGCAGCATGGTATATTCCATCGAGAAATCTCTACATACTTGAGGCCACCTAGTGTACGTGACATAGGATCTACCCATAAGCCATCCTGTCAGCGATTTGAGATCTCAGGGGTGGGCTATCCGGAACAGAGGCAGTCTTTGCAACGGCATAGATTCTTTATCGAAGCGAATTACTCACCCATAGCCCAGCAATCCCACCCACTTGTGGGTGAACAAAATACTTTGTTGGATTAGACCCGGAAAATAAAGACATGCCACAAGTCCAAGGGGGGTCAAAAGAAGGACAGTTGCTTTCATATTCTAGACACCATGCTCGCGTGTCTATAATATCCTAAAATTTAACAGACTCCCGGACGATTAAGCAATACCACACGGAAGCATGCACCGAATCGTGGACGGGATGTTTTCTCTTCAAGTTTGAGAGAGCCAGGGGCCCTGCATCTACTCCGGCGCATCCAGCATCATAAGAAATATCTGGCCTGGCAGCAGAAGCATGCCCGCGAGTCCCATGCTCAACTGCGTGCCAGGGCGATCCACTACTGCCCGGGTGACAGAAACTTGGTCCAAACTCAACACCAAATGCGTGGTGGTCATGTAGGGCCGAGGTGAGAATCCAGGATATAGAGACTCTCCATACAGTGCATACATACATGGCCCATACATGATGAATAGGCCTAGCAATGGAGATTCCATAAAACCCTCTTTCGATTTTGCATGTAAGCAAAATACAGAACGATACCTCACTTTACAGTACAGAAGAGATAACAGCAGCCCAGTTACCATACCATACCTCCACCACCTCAATTGATCCATCTGCCCCCGACTAGATAAGAACCCCCCCCCTCTTTCAACCCCGAACTCTCTCATCTCATCCAATTCCAATTCCTTACCCAATATTCTCCCCTTCCCCGAACACTGCAAGAATGCCCGACACCGAAGAACCCCCCATCTTCACCAAATACCCGTCCCTCCGTAAGATGGCGGGGCTAGAGGAGTCGGAGATCGTTGAGTCTCATGACGGGCGCGAGATCACGCTTCTCAAGCACATCTACGCCCATGCCGAGCTGGACACCAAACTGCGGGGTTCTCCAGCCGCCATTCTGGAGGCGATGGACGAGTTCGCCGCCCAGGAGGACTTTCTAATCAACATCGGTCCGGACAAAGCGGGCAAGCTGGCCGTCCTGGTGCGCGAGCACCGGCCCAGGGTGGTGGTGGAGTTGGGGGGATATGTTGGGTAAGTCGAGGGGTGCTCGTCATGGCCATCAAGGAGAGAGCATGCTAACTGGGGAGTGGCTTGCCGACCGAACCAGGTACTCTGCCATCCTGTTCGGAAGTATCTTGAAGGAGATGTGGACGCCGAACCACCCGGACCACGCGGATCTTGAGGCGGGCGAGGAGGACAAGCCCAGGGTCTACAGCATCGAGATCGACCCGCTGGTCGCCTCCGTCGCCATGAATCTCGTCAGCCTCGCCGGCCTGCAGGATCTCGTCGAGGTCGTCGTCGGCGCCTCCGCCCACACCCTGCGTCGGTTGCACGGGCAAGGAACCCTCGGCGATCGGGGCATCGACCTGCTGTTCATGGACCACGACGAGGCGCGGTACGCGGCAGATGTCCAAGTGGCCGAGGAACTGGGGCTTCTGAACACAGACGGCGCCCTGGTCATTGCCGACAATGTGCTGCGACCCGGGGCGCCGGCCTATCGCGATTACATGCGCCAGAACCCGCGCCTCCGCCGGAGTTGGGGCTTGCCGGGATTGATTGTGCCCGGGGATCTCGCGGTCGGGTCTTCCTTCCCTTCATTTTGGATTCTGTTGTCTGACTGTGGAACTGTAGGACGAGATGGAGATCAGCGTCGTGGGTCGGAAGATGCCGAGGGAGAAGAAATCGAGCCGCGCGATGGAGAAAGGTCGAGGAGGAGAACGGGGTGGACGAGCAGAAGCAGCCTGACTGCAAGAGGAAGAAGGCTGCTAGCTAAATATACTAGCATGGAGCAGGCACAGGGAGGGGCAGGAGTCGATGAATTCAGTAGAGCCCCCTTGAATATAAATCAAATCGGAATCCAGGATGGTGCCCTAACGCACAACGTCTCAACGAGCGGAGCATGCGTACACACACGCGCGCACATACACAGAACGAGACCGCAGAGAATCACAAAACCATCAATCCATGTCTCTAGAGAACCATCCGAAACTTGACTCAGCAACTTCCCTCTCGCACCTTGTAGCCCCAAAGCAAGCTCTGCTGGAAGATGGTCGGATACTCGGCCGCCTCTGCCGGCGAGATTTCCACCCCGGCCTGCTGGAAGAGCAGTGACAGCTGCGCGGCGCTCACCGGATCCTGCCCAAAGGGGGTGTGCAGCATCGCCCGGCACTCCTCCTTGCGCACTGTAGTATTCTAGCGATGGAACTGCGGGCCAAACGCCTGCTCCCATATGCCTTTGACGGCGGCGATGATTGCGGCGCATGGCGGCAAGTCGGTTTCCGCGAGTTGCCTGTCGATCGGAAGGGTGGGTGGGGATTCGGGCGCGGTCTGGTCGAAGTAGGTATGTAATCGGAATCCATCATCGGAGGCGTGAGGGGCCTGGAGGAACGAAATTGCATCGGCAGATTCGTCGAGAATGCGATCTGCAATGGAAGAGGGCATAGTTGCGGCGCCGTAGCTCAGTTTGATCTCATGCAGTCTCTCGGCACCACAATTGTCCCTGGGAGTTACCATCATCCGTAGGTCGGCAGCGTCAGAGGTAGGTACATAAGCTTCGAGACTCCCCGTGTCCCCGCCAAGAAGAACACTGTCCAGGTCTTGGTGCAGGTTTTGGTATTGCAGGATGGAACTCAATCGGGTGGTTGGCGGCCATTGTGTGCAGTGATCGATGATCTCGCCGAAGCCTAAAATAGAATGGGGCAAGGCGCTAATATATTGCTGTTGAATCGCATGCAGCAGCTCCCTTCGTGCGGTAGTCGGCTGGAGCTGGACGCGCACAGGAAGCACCTGGAGACAGGGACCGACAACCTCATGAATGGCTGGCAGATAAACCAAGCTGGGTGGAGTGTTGGTCAAGTGACCGAAGACCGCGTCCTGATGTTGCGAGAGACGGCCGAGCACGAGTGCCCAGGCGGGCTTGGTGATCGTGGCCGGGGTGGTGGAGGCGTCGGAAGCTGATGGCGACAGTCGAATAGTCCGAATTGTGGTCTGATCCAGGGGATAGTCTTTCTGTAACGAGTGCGAGGAGAGCTTGCTGCGTGCCACGATGGGTGTGACTTGTGATCCTTGCAGCAGTTGACGCCAGAACTGCTGGGCGTGCTTGTTTTGGGAAAGGAGTCGCTCGCTCTCACCCATGTATTCCGAGAACCTGGCCGGAGGGGCCAAGACAATCCCGTTGTATAATGCGTCCAGGTCCTTGAGAATGAAAGGCATGCTGAGTCCGTCATATTGGGTATGAGAGATTCGCATCGTGAGACGAATACGGCCTGGGTGAACGATAAGGAAGTACGAAACGAAGCAGAACATCATTCAAGGAGAAAGCAGGATCAGTATGAACTAAACTGGCAGAGGGACCGAGACTGCATCTCACCGAACCCTTCAAGTACCTGAAATCGGACATCTTCTGCTCGATACCTGGGAATCACCTGCTGGACAGAGCCGTGGAGGGCAACGAAACGAGCACGCACAACTTCGTGCCGCTGCACGAGGGCATGGCAGGCATATTCCAATTGCTTCACGTTGATGCTGCCGTGGAGGTCATGAGAGAAATAGGACGACGCCGCCTTCGACGACCCCTTCGCCTTCGCGCCGGAACGGTGGTTGCGGAATCCCGGCGCGCCCGCGGCGGCCTTTGGCTTCGGTCGCTGCGCGTGTCCCGGCCAGCACCCGGCGCGCCGATCACTGTTTCTGGTCATCAGCCGCTTGCTCTGGGCCTTCGAGTTCTCGCAGTTTCGGGATGAAGGCACTGGCGAGAGGTACGAGTTGGACAGCCTGAAGATGCTCCAGAGTGCGCTGTCGGGTCCGGTTGACCTCAAGGCCTCGGTCTCGGTGCGGTCGTCGTACCATAGCGAGGTCATCGAAGAGCTATTCGCGTCAGCCGAGCAGGATTGAGCCGTGTTAATGCAACAAGTTCATGGAGGAGACGATGCGAATATCAAACATGGGAACTTTTAAATGTGTGGTACACAGGACTATACTATGTTGCACAGAGATGATTGAAGGGTAAATTGGCGTTCAATTCAGTTGAAATGGTAATGACTGGACTAGGCTACGTCGTAATTGTGACAGCGTACCCAAAGCAACAACAATGCAGTAATCAGAAGTCAAGCGAACAAGTACCTGGACGGATGTTGAATCCGAGGCCATCGAAGGGTTGAACGAAGCATTAATTAGTCAAAAGCAAACAGGCAAAGCAAAACGTCAGCGACATCGTCTATAGATGTCAAATGGCTGACTGGGCTAACCTAGTAATCGTCACCGCGACTGATGACTTCCTTGCCGCCGCTGTGGAGGAGAATGGTCTAGAGCACATTAGTTTCGGTCCAAGGCGCATCATATAACAAAAGGAAGCCATACATGTTCGAATTGGGCGGTGTAGGAACCCTTCACGTCGACAAGCGGCGCATAGGACTCGACAATACCATTATCGATCAGGTTTTTCATCTGAGGAACTCGTCAGTAACAGATGCAAATCAATCCCACGGCCATGGAGCTACTCACCCCGAGATGATAATGGGACACCCCTAGTCTCTCCAGATAGCGACGACAGAAAACGATCGACCCGAAATTCGAATCGATGGTCTTCAGCAGCGATTTCGCAGAAGCGAGACGCAGGTTGGCACCGGAAGCGTCGGTGTTTCTACCGTAGCCGTAGAGGCCCACCTGTTGAGAAGTTATTAGAACCTGACTCGAACCTGAAAAAGGGTGATTGCGTACATCATCCTCTAAATAACCCTTGCCGGTGCTTCCGAAGGTCTCGATGGCAAACACCTCTCCTTCCTCCATCTTGTCGCGATTGTTGCTCTTGATGAACGGGACTTGCTTCCCGCCATGGATCTGATAGCGCAGAATGTCGTGCCCGGTGATATTTCGAATGGCTTTGACGGGGCGGGTCTTTCCGTCGATCTCGACCTCGTAGCTTTCCATCACTTCCTGGATGGCTGCGCCGATTTCGCCCATTCTCGCATCGATACCGGCATGCTAGTCAAATCAGTCGCTTGGCCTGTGTTCTCGGAGCCGTCGGACATACCTTGATACCAGTATTGGTCGCCTCCTTGACCGCAGTCAGGAGATTATCGTATTTGTCCTCGAACGCGACCGTGAAAGCGGAGTCAACAATGCGCCCATTCACATGGACCCCGAAGTCCACCTTGAGAACGTCGTTCTTATCCAGAATGACATCCTTAGCGCCCGGGTTCGGCGTCCAGTGCGCCGCCACATTGTTCAGACACAGGCCGGTCGGGAATCCCATGCCCGCGTGAAAAGCGTCGCCGGGTTCCAGGCCCTGGTGGCCCGTGAGCGCGCGCACGCCGTCCTCGATCCCCTCGGCGATGGCCGTGAGGCTGGCACCCGGCTTGATGAGCTCCCGCTGGGCATACTGCCGGACCTGGCGGTGAACCTCGGCCGCCTTGCGGTAGTCGGGCAGGAAGTCATCGTCCCAGAGGCGGGAGTTATAGCGCAGTTCTTCGTCGGTCGTGCGGGCGGTGTTCTCGTCCTCGACGTAGGGGACGAGTTCTCCGCGGGGGTACTGGCCGGACGGGAAGAGGGTGGAGAGCGTCACCCGCGGTGGGGTGGTCTGCGCGGTGGGGGTGGTCTTCTTCTTTTTCTTGGACCTCTTGCGTTTCTTTTGTTTCTTCTCTGGTGGTGCAGTCAACGTGTCAGTGACGTTTGTTTAGAACTTATTGAGAGGGTCGACGGTTTGCGAGCGTACCAGCAGTTGAGGCTCCGTTCACCCCATTTTCTTCCTTCGAATTGTCGTCGTCGTCATCATCATCGCTGATGATCCCTCGATCCAAGTCCGCGGAGCCGGAACCGTTTCGAGAGGCCTTGATTTGAGGATTGGCGGGCTTGAAGTCGGAGGAGTTGGAGGCTGAGTCACACGGTCAGGTTAGATCCAAGGATTCATTCTTGGAGAGTGTTGAGATGGCACATACCATCGGATTCCTGCCGATGTCCCTCGGGGGTCTTAGATCCCATGTTGAAATAGTTCTAGAGTTCGTCACGCACGCGACCGGCATGGACTGTGGGTGTTGAGGTTGATGTGGTTGCAGAGAAAACAAAGGATCGCCCCGCGTGTTATGGACCCTGGGCCGGCTGAGTCAGCAGCTTCCCCGCCAGAAGCCGATTAGAGCTAAATTTAGTGTGCTTTCGCCTTCTGGAAGGCCTCAAGTAGGCTCTACCAGTATAGTTACAGGACCATCTCTACTATGACATGCCTTATATCTCCTCTAGCGTGCTCCGATTCTTATGGAGTAGAATCACAGGCTCTGAGAACGTTATATTTCCAGCACAATTCATTCAGGTTCGGCGACATCGCTTGCGACTGGTTTGATCATAAATTCATCCATGAAAATCATCAGTAATTGCCTGTGGGAGCTTCCTGTTAAGCTAGAAAGTCAATTGAGCGTCAAAGGGCAATGATCGATACTGTAGCCATGGGCAATTCTAGACACAACCCCGGATTCGAGATCTCCATTCTGGAAACAAAGACGCCGAGTCTTGTCGAAGGCGCCTATGATAGTATGCTCTCCTTCGCGATTATTATATTGTATTCTATTCAATATCCTGGGGGAAGTTGCGGTCTTGGGGCAGTCCGTCTAAGCACAGCTGACTGGGATACTGATGTGCGCAGTTCTACAGAGCTTAATAGACCTGAGCGCGAGGTCCTCATTAACCGCTTCCACATTGCTAGTGGCGGGGGTCTGAGCTTCACCACGAGAAGCCAGATGACGCACCCCCTTCAGCAAATAATGCTGGAGAGTGGGGGGAACGACTGGAGCTCGCAGGTGGTCATAGCTCCGACGTTAGTGAGCAGAGGTGCAGACACGGCAGTGCTGGCATAAATCCATCCAACAATCGTCGGAGAATTTATGAGTAGCATGATCACGCCCAACCCCCGAGCTACACATTAGTGCTGGGTCATGAATGCGTGTAGGCTTGAAGTCTTTGTCCTGCATGTTCCGAAAGTGTCTCGTTCACATTCCGGAACCCTTGGTGGGTAAGCGGCGCGTGGCACCCCAGATATTGAACCCGGTTAACTCATTGAGAACGCCCCCAGAAGTATGCCGCAGAATCACATGCATTCACATGTCCGTGAGCTGGAACATGGCATCGGACTGGTCGCATCTCCTGTGGGGTTGGGAGGGGAGAAGATTCTGGAGCTTCTGGTTATTCTATGCGCTCATTGAAAAGCCGAAGACTTCTTCGATGGACTTGTCAGGGTGTATTCGCTAGAGAGTGGCGAAGACCGCTGCAAAGCATCCGTCGTTGCGAAAACAGCTGTGACTCTTATCGGAATCGAACGGTAGGTGGATGTGGGGGATTCCGAAAAGTACCGAGCGTGATCGACGGGTGTACCAGCATCAGTGCGGTGATGGTTTGCTGGTGCAGCCGCGGCTGGCTGGAGGTTGTTCGGACATGCGGGGAGATGAGGAAGGCTTATCGAGGGCGCACATCCTCGGTAGGATGGAAAAAGGGCGCAGCGAACTGATAAACGGTCTTAGGACATTGTAGCGTTAGTTGGTTGGTCCAGTTAGTTGATGCCAATGCTTTCGGACGAGAGACCATCTCTCCGTACACCCTGCGTCTTCTCAACTTCCCTCGCATATCACAGCTTCGGGGGGGGGGGGTTCAAGCTATATCAAAGGGGACAGGTGAATGTATCGAGTCATCACAAACGATAAGGCCCGAATCGGAGGCGGTGGCCGGCGCGTGCCGGGCGGGGAACCCCAGCTCCAATCGGGTCCAGTCGGCCGAAAGGACCAGTTCCCCGCGGAGAAGTCACGTGGTGATTACAGTGGGTGCGAGTGGGTGCGAGTGGGTGCAACCCAGACTGATTCCTGAGTCTATCTGATGACAATTGCTGGCAATTGCTGCCAAAAAAGTATCTCTCCATCCACCATGCTCCGTGACTGCCCTCCTTTATCGGCGGTACCCCGCGACCATGGATAATCCGAACTTCCCATGGGCCGCGGCTGTCCGTGGATTCTGACGTCGTCGAGCCCACCTCCTGCCCTCCGATAAGATTTTGGGGGATGGAACTTATATACTTTGCTTGTCCCTCCTTCCATCGCAGAGCTGGAACTTTATGTGCTTAGGCTGTGATCTATACTACTTCTACACTCCTTCCATCCTCCTTCTCCCCTGTCGACCCAACTAGAGATCTGTGTCAAGTTTCTGTTACCAAAGTCTTCACCATGAGCCAATCTGAGGCCCAGCTCAAGGACGTGGCCATCCTGGGCACTGTGAGCACCGAAGCTCGCAAGATCCTCACCAAAGACGCCTGCGTCTTCCTTGCCATCCTCCACCGCGCCTTCAACTCCACCCGCAAAGCTCTCCTCCAACGCCGCATCGACCGACAAGCTGAGATCGACAAGGGCCACCTGCCTGACTTCCTCCCCGAAACCAAGCACATCCGCGAGAATGACGCCTGGAAGGGCGCTCCCCCGGCCCCTGGCCTAGTCGACCGTCGGGTTGAGATCACAGGTCCCACCGACCGGAAGATGGTGGTGAACGCGCTCAACTCGGATGTCTGGACATACATGGCGGATTTCGAGGGTACGTCGCCTGCCCCCACTTTTTAACATCTTAAAAGGTGCTAACTCCGATGAACAGATTCCAGCGCCCCCACCTGGGAGAACATGATCAACGGCCAGGTCAACCTCTACGACGCGATCCGCCGGCAGGTGGACTTCAAGCAAGGCAACAAGGAGTACAAGCTGCGGACGGACCGGGTGCTGCCGACGTTGATCGCGCGCGCTCGAGGCTGGCACCTCGAGGAGAAGCACTTCACCGTCGACGGCGAGCCCATCTCCGGCAGTTTGTTCGACTTCGGCCTGTACTTCTACCACAACGCCAAGGAGCTGGTGGCCCGCGGGTTCGGGCCGTACTTCTACCTGCCCAAGATGGAGTCGCACCTGGAGGCGCGCCTGTGGAACGACGTCTTCAACCTCGCCCAGGACTACATCGGCATGCCCCGCGGCACGATCCGCGGCACCGTGCTGATCGAGACCATCACCGCCGCCTTCGAGATGGACGAGATCATCTACGAGCTCCGGGACCACAGCTCCGGCCTGAACTGCGGCCGCTGGGATTACATCTTCTCCTTCATCAAGAAGTTCCGCAAGCACCCCAATTTCGTGCTGCCGGATCGCTCGGACGTCACCATGACGGTGCCGTTCATGGATGCCTATGTGAAGCTGTTGATCAAGACCTGCCACCGGAGAGGTGTCCACGCTATGGTAAGTTTTTATCTTTTTGGTCTTAAAAACAATCGAAACACACAGCGGTGAAAACATGCTAATTCCCCACCAGGGCGGCATGGCAGCTCAGATCCCGATTAAGAACGACGCGGCAGCCAACGACAAGGCGATGGAGAGCGTGCGGGCGGACAAGCTGCGGGAAGTGCGGGCGGGCCACGATGGGACTTGGGTTGCCCACCCGGCGCTGGCGGCCATCGCCTCGGACGTCTTCAACACCCACATGCCCACCCCGAACCAGCTCTTCGTGCGCCGCGAAGACGTCAACATCACCGCCAACGACCTCCTGAACACCAACGTTCCAGGCAAGATCACCGAGGAGGGCATCCGCAAGAACCTGAACATCGGCCTGTCGTACATGGAGGGCTGGCTCCGGGGTGTGGGCTGTATCCCCATCAACTTCCTCATGGTAAGCTTTCCCCCCATCCTTAACCTGTCCCTTCTCACCCCCCACCCAACCACACCCAACCAACCAATGCTAATACCCAAAATAGGAAGACGCTGCCACCGCCGAAGTCTCGCGCAGTCAACTCTGGCAATGGACGCACCACGGCATCACCACCTCCGACGGCAAGAAGGTCGACAAGGCCTACGCCCTGCGCCTGCTGCAGGAGCAGGCCGACGACCTGGCCGCCAAGGGCCCCGCCGGCAACAAGTTCCAGCAGGCCGCCCGCTACTTCGCCGGTCAGGTCACCGGCGAGGACTACGCGGACTTCCTGACCACCCTCTTGTACAACGAGATCTCCTCGGCGGGTAGTGCGTCCCCCGCGGCCAAGCTGTAGATCGGCTGGACCCGTTGTTTCAGAAAGATGGAAACGGTTATTGATTAACGCTGTTCTTCTTATTTTCTTGTGATGTTAGCTACGCTATTATAATTTCAAACTGGACATTTTCATGATATGAGCAGATCGTGCTAGGGCAGGAGTGAGTAGATAAAGGATAGCCAGCCACCTTCTAGAACGGATGTAGGGGGCCATCTAGCAAGAAATGACAAAGCCACCAAGACAGCGTCTATTTCATCGCAAGGAGAATAAAGGAAAGTACTCCTGAGATCCAATTTGGTGGTCTGCAGCGCGTGTGCTAGATTCCTAGGTACTTTCAACACACCATCAGATAGAGACCTAGCTTTAGAATGGGAGCGACCGATAAGCTTTGCGGTGCCGCGGGCGGGTCGCACCCACTTCTAACTTGACCAGGTTAACAACTTTCGCTGGACAATGTATTTAGATGAGGGATCTATCACACTGAGGGTATCAGAGTAGCTCATTGAGACCTCGTGTGCTTAGTACCCGACGATGCATTCAGTTGAACTAACCAGCATATTCCAAGAGATAGGTCTTCTGTATGGTACAGCAAGTAGAGGGTGAAACATCAGTGTATGCCGTATGCCGTTGACTAAGTTACTTGGCATAGACTAGACCAATCTACCACTATTACTGAATGACTTCTGCCTCCAGTCCACATAGGCAGGAGCAACATAATACTTAGAAAGCAGGCACTAATCCATGTCATTCTGTGTGCAACTAAAGCCGTATCTGAATAGAAACCCGAAATATGACCAGCATATGAACCGTCTCCGTCCCACAAGACTGTACTTTCGCCACAGAGCTGCTCGCTACAACAACCGCACATTGTCACATCCAAGAAGCAACTCAAAGCATCTCATACCAAACACCACTCAACATCCCAACTGCCCCAACTTGCCAAGAGAACCTCAAATGTAGAACATCGTATCCTTGACGTTGGGATGGATGGTGACCCTGCCGCCGTCCACGGCATGAGCACCACCCCCACCACCGCCGGTGACAACGCTACCGGTCGGCGTCGCATCGTACAGATCAGACAAATAGCATCGCGCTCGCTCGCAGACCAGATCGGCATAATATGCAGGAGGGCAGATGCTCACGGCCTTGGTCGCCCGTCCGAACAGATAGCACATCTTGTGCGTGAGGTCTTCCAGGATGTCAGCTGTGTTCTGTCCTTCCTTGGGTTTCTCTCGACAGAAGATCTCGTCCCAAACAGTAAAATAGTGTGCCGGGCGAGCGGTGCCCTTGAGAGCAGTGTGAGCCTGTAGGTAGAACTCCCAGTTGCGGGCTTCCGTCACACCGCGGTCGACCACAGTACCATTCTTAGGATTCAAGTGGCCATCGGCGTCCTCTTTACGCGTAGGATAGAAACGCGTGTGATGCCGCTTGCCCACAATCACGACCGAGATCCGTGGTAGCCCTTTGGCATGCTCCGTTGCTGGGTACAGCTGCTTGCAAGCGCTTTTGAGGAGGGGTAGTTCTTCTTCGACAACCATTTCATACTGCCCTTCAGAGACTCCGTCGCGGTAGACAATAATATTATCCGGATACTGACCCTTGTTGGTTTTAGCCCACCGACCGAGGTGAGCTTTCAGCATCGTGTCCAACTCACTGACCCTTTCTTGGCGCGATGTTTGGATCCGAAGTTCTGCTGGCCATTGACCCAAGTAGGAATCAATCGAGGCAACCATTCCCGCAACACTGGGGGCTTTTGAGGATGACCCGGGAGAGGGGTGGGTCACATCGATACCAACAAGCATAGTCTTGCCCTTGCTCACTATCCCAAGCTCTCTAGGAATCAGCTGATTCGCACCCCCGAGCTTCAGATTGACCTTCAGACCGACGTTGGCGAGGTATTGTTCGCGGCCCTTGTCAGTCGTGAAGTTTTTAACAAGCACATTCACATTGCGGACACCCTCCCGAACGTCACAGACTCGCTTCATGCAGTTATAAACTTCCGTGCTTTGGTCGGTAAGAATACCAAGAATCATGGTAGGCTTATGAGCGGCCATCAGTCTCTTGACAGCGCCACCAATCTGATCATCCACGTCACCGCGAGCGAGAACGACGCGCTCTCCGCCTTGAGGGGGATTAGCCTGAACCCCGACCTCTCTCAGCTTCGTCACAAAATGTTCCAGGGCGGCCCCCAGTACCTCACGCGTGGGGGCTCTAGTTGGGCTGGAGTCCAAGAAAAGCCAGGCCCAGGAACCTAAGCTTGAGCCGATTGAGAATTTGATAGACCTCATATTCCAGCTGCCACCGCTGGACGAGAGTCTCTTCTCTTTGTTGTTTGCGTCTTTGTAGAAGATCTGAGGGGCCTCAAGGATGCGGCCGGGTACTGTGATGAGTCGGGGATCTGCTTGGATACCAAACTCTTTCAAAGTAGCATTTGAAGCAGCACTGAGCCCGAGGATGCGAGTTCCATTATTCACAATTGACTGAGCGTTGACTGGCGGAACATTGACTGCAAATTTCAACATTTCCCTTGTCTGGTAGGGGCTCAGCTTGGTCTTAGCTTGCTGCCCAGGTTCGACGTTGCAGACTTCGACGGGTAAATAGCTAGGATTCTCGCGAGTCCCGACATTCATCACTGGCATTCGGGGATCTAGATTTGTCATATTGTAACGCTCGTTGAAGAATTCCGCCACACTGATGTATCTTCCAGCCGGCGGAGGCCCAGCTGTGGCTGGCTTTTTGCCCTTCTTCTTCGAGGATGCGGACTGCTGCTGCGATGACTGTTGGCCAGCTTCGTCCAACCAGAATTTCACATCATTGGGACCGGCTCCCAGACGAGGGACCGTCGGAGGATGTGGCAGCGATGCGCCATCTCCCGTGTTAGCCAGACTAGCGATTCTCTTGAAACGTGGGATGATTACTCCCTGCTTGTTTTTGCGTTCAATGTGTGTTGCCCGGATTCTCAAGTTTTTCAAGAAACGTTGCAGGGAGTGGAACTCGAAACGGTTGGGCTGATAACTGGTTATCAAGTCCGCTAGCGCGCCCTCCTGGTAGCAGGCCGCATATTTGACTTGAACATTGACGAGCAGGCGACTAGTTGCAGCACGGACGCTCACAAAAAATCCACGAAGAGCCTCGAGCCCATCTCCGAGGTTGTAACCCTCTTTCTGACCCTGAGCGATGGCAAAGTGTCTATTGGCACCCACTGAGTAAATGTTCGGGTCGATTTTGGGCTGATGGCCCAGGACAATGTTCATAGCTTGGAGAATCTCTGGCTTTCTGTCGAACATATTTGTCGCATTGGCTGAGGTCAAGTAGTCCAAGAGATCGGACGGTTCGAGAGTGCCGGTGTGCTGGCACTTCACCCGATAGACCTTTGATGGCTCTGGATATTCATCGTCGTATTCATCCCGGTAGCGGACGTCATACGTGTGCTCATTCTCGCCTTCCTCCAGAAGCTTATCCCGGGAGATGAGAGTGGAGACGAAGTCGGTGACAACGCCATTTCGCTGCGAAGCAAAATGCTCCTCAATCAACAGTTTGATGACTTGCTTCGCCTTCTTGCCGGTAGGCCTCCTGACGGACTGGTCTTCGAGAATTTCGACGCGATGGCGGTGGAGGGTTTTGCCGATCGACTTGAGCTGAAGATAGTTGGCGAATAAGTCGACTCTCGTTCCCTTCGTACCGTAGCCGGGACGGCGGGGGTATTTGCTGTCTTTGGGCGAGGGCGGTGCCTTGACCAATGCGTTCATCATCGCATCCTCCTTCTCTTCGACCTGGGAGCTGGGTTTGAGGTTTCCGCCGGGGGAGAAGACCTCCGGGCCGTTGTAGTCAGCTTTTCCGCCGCGTGGCGGGCGACCGCCACGAAATGCATCGGAACCTCTGGGACGACCACGACCCCTGCCATCGCCCCTGCCATCGCCCCTCCCATCGTCTCCAGGACGGAAGGGAAGATCGAAAGAGCCACGGCCGCTTCCACCTCCACGACCACCACCACCTCCGCCGCCGCCGCCGCCACGATAACCTCCACGACCGCGGTCACCGCCTCCTCCCCGACCACGGTCACCTCTGGCACGGTCACCGCCGCGACCACGGCCTCGTTGCCAACCTCGAGAATCAGACATGAGGGACGTGAGCTGACGCGAGGCAAATCAAAATCAGTCAGAGCAAGGCACAAGTTCTGATGGGACAGGGACGGGTACTAGAGGTCGCTGAGGAATTGTTATGTGATGAGCTGTAGCTTAGCCCCGACCGGAGGAAGTGGGCTCCACCGCTCGGGTTTGGCGCTTTGCGGTGGGTCGGGCACGTTCGTTCCCTTGGAACCGAAGGAACCGAAGGATATGACAGACGATACCCCGCTGACTTGGGCAGAATGTGGTGAGAGAGGATGGTGCTGGATGACAGACGGACTCGAACAGTTGAGAGAGTAAAGGATGATGATGATTGAGGTGAAAGAAAGATGAGGAGCGAAGATGAAGGCTTTGAGATAGGTGGTGCGGGGTACGGTCTATAAATCCATGAGTGAACCACAAGTAAACAAATCGGCCGGTCTGGATCTTTGTGAGGTAACCATCCCGTTGGATTTTGGGGGGAGACTCACCGCTGGTGCTAAGCTAGTAAGTAAGATAAAGGAAGAATAAGGTGTTGACGGAAAGCCCAACCTGGGGATAAGGATAAGGATGAGGAAGAGGAAGAGGAAGAGGAGGAGGAGGAG